CCTCACGCTTTGCTCACTGGGGTGGTAGAACAGGGGAAGGATCTACTCCACTGTAAGGCAGGTTTCTGTCCACTGCCAACTTCACTAAATGTTCCAGTCTTAACGGTGGATACTGTGGTCACTTTTGGTTTCAGTCAGAGAATCTACTTTATGAATTCGTGGCACACAGAAGACGGTAGGAAAATCTGACCAGGCCTAACAAGCTTTTTTTTAAAAAAAGGAAGGGACCATGTTTTGAATTTAGCAAGGGATGAAAGGCTAGGAGCATTGACGCTGCATGCTAATTGACTCCTCCCAGAGCGAAGAAGGAGGCAAAGGGTTATTTAACCCTACTGAGCCCCAGTTCATCAGCCATTGGGAACAAGCAGTTGCTTGGTCCTGCTAACAGCAGAGCACTGAGCTCATCTGTTCCTTGTTATTACTTTTATTGACACTTCTTTGAAAGAAAGATGTAAAAGTAACTGATTTTTTGGGTTTTCATCAGGACCCTCAGATTTTGGATATCAGTGCTGACCAAGACAGAGTGAGACAACTTCTGGCAGAGATGCAAGATGTTCTTGATGAATTACAGAAGCGTGCATTCCAGTACAAATCATACCAGAAGAACTTTAAGGTAATTTGTTTAGAGTTTCACATATGTTGTCTTAATGGAAGTCTGCACTGTGATTTGCAGAGCCTGGCCTATAGCACAAGTTATCAGGGTCCCAGTCCTATGTTCACATACTTCAGAGCTGCCATGGCTTGAGAGGAAGTGGACTGTGATATATATGCAGGTTGACTTGCTTGTGCTATTGAACAGTGCTGTTGCAGAACAATGGCAGACACAACATCCTGTGTAAGGCAAGCAGGCACGGTACAGTTATGCAGAACAGAACCTTTATTGGCATATAAAATCAATAAGATAAAACGTCGTCAAGGTAAAATTGCATCTGTAAGTCTTAAAACACCAATATTAAGAATAGTTCCTTGCTACCAAAATCTTGGAGCTGCGGTGGCTCAAGTGGTTAAGACGCTGAATTGCAGGCTGTGGAAGGTCAGTAGTTCAGCAGTTCGAGACCTGAGTGTGCTGCATGACGGAGTGAGCTCCCGTCTCTAGTTCCAGCTCCTGCCAACCTAGCAGTTTGAAAGCAAGAAATTGCAAGTAGATAAATAGGTACCACTTAAGTGGGAAGGTAACAGCGTTCTGTGCGCCTTGGTGTTTAGTCATGGCGGCCATATGACCACGGAAACGTCTTCGGACAGCGCTGGCTCTTTGGCTTTGAAACGGAGATGAGCACCGCAACCCTAGAGTCGGATTTGACTGGCTTTCGAGCAAGGGAACCTTTACTTTTACTTTTTACCAAAATCTTAGCCAAAAAATCAGCAATGTGTACAATAACTTCTGGTGACTTATCAGCTAGGAGAACCCTAATTGCATTATCAGAGTTGATCCTGGACAGTGAAGGCTTAATCAGAAGTAGTCGGAAATGTGAGTGGAGGGGGCAGCGTAGCAGAATATGGTCTAAAGTGTCAGGTTCTCTGCATGAGCAATTACAAATTCTGTCACATTTCGAGATACCTCTGTATCTGCCTGAGACCCAAGATGAGGGAAAAACATTAAATCTGGCCAGGATAAGGGTTCTGCGTTGCAGCGGGATCACCAAATCAGAGAAGTATTGTGCCATGTTGTTTGGTACATATCTGAGGCCAAGGGAAAGGGGGGAAGAAGTGCCACCGGCACCAGCCTGGATTGTTTGGGCTTCAATGTCCCAAATTCTTCTGCAAATTGTCCGGTATAGAAAGGTCTCATCTTGATTTTCCAAGATGTCCAGGTCGATGCTAATTGAGCGTATTTTAGAAGTTATAGCCTGTGCCCACTTGGATACATATGAGTCCATAATCAAGTGTGCAATAAGGCTATTCTGAGGGGCACTAAAATGGATGTGAAGCCAATATTTAATAGTGGTGATCCATGCCTGCGAGTCTAGAAGGTGGAGGCCCAGTTCAGCACAGAGAGAATAACAGGTAACAGAGTTAGGTAATCCAAGACTGCGTCGCAAGAAAATTGAATAAATTTGATCAATCTCTTTATTAAAGCTCTGGATCCATACAGGGATTCCATATAGTAGGCGAGGGACTACTGTGGCCTGGAAAATTCGAAGAGCGGCCAGGACGAACTGATTTCCTTGTTGGTAATAAAAATGAATGACAGTGGAAATCCTGTTTTTAGCCAATGGGAGCACTTGGTCCCGATGGGAGGACCAGTTTAAATTATAATGAAACAAAACACCCAGATACCTAGAGGATCTGACTTGCTCAATTTCCCTCCCGTCAATTTTCCACAAGTTGCGTTCCCACACCTTGGAGAAAACTAGGGTTTTTGTTTTCCCATAGTTAATTATAAGAGAGTTCAGGTACAGTTATACACTTCTGCCTCAAGTCGGGTGACCTTGGGCTGATTGCAAGATCTCTGCCTAACCTTCCTCACAGAGTTGGCTGGGAGGATAAAGTGGGGGGACAGAAAGAAAAACTCACCCTTCTCTGTGCTTCTTGTTCAAAGGGCAGGATTGGGAAGGGTTGTGGCTCAGTGGTAAGAGAATCTGCTTTGCATGCCGAAAGTCCCAGGTTCAGCCTCCAGCATCTCCACTTAAACAGACCAGATAGCTGAAGATATGAAAGTCCTTATCTTGAGGTTCTGGGTGGGTGCTACCACCCTGAGTGGACAGTACCGACCAAAGACCAATGGTCTGACTCAGGGCAGGGCAGCGTCATGTGTCCCTTCAGAAATACATAACTTATGTGAACTTTCTAGTTTAAGAAAAGTCACAAGCCTTGATTCTGATTACTGTACTGGGTTTGAAGTTTCCACTGGATCCTGGCTGCCAGCTCTTAAGTCCTACTAAGTCCAGTGGAATTACATTAACGCAAAAGTAAGTCCCACTAAGTCCAGTGGAACAGAGTTCGAGTCCAGTGGCACCTTTAAGACCAATAAAGTTTTGTTCAAGGTATGAGCCCTTGTGTGCGCGCACACTTCTTCAGCTCTTCAGGTATCTGAAGAAGTGTGCATGCACACGAGAGCTCATACCTCAAAGGTGCCACCGGACTCAAACTTTGTTCTGCTGCTTCAGACAAACACAGCTGCCCACCTGGATGGATCTAGTAGAATGATCAAATATACATGAACAGTTTTGTTGCTTCTCAAATACCCTTTGCTACAGGAGCACACAAAGGTACAGCGGTTTTGACATGAAACCTGAAATACTGGGTATTAAGAACTAACCGTAGGAGGCAGTTATCCAGAGTGCAGATGTTGTCAAGGTTATTGCTACAGCTTCAAGAATAATTCTTGTGATTAGTATAAGCAGAGGTCATTTTGTAGAAAAAGAGGTGCAGGAGCTCATTAGCATAACTTTATTTGCATATGCCACACCCCCTGACATCACCGGAAACGTGTCAGAAGGCAACACCCACCACTCAGGCGCCACTGGACTGTTTTGCATTGCTAGCTATTGGGGGGGGGGAAACGTGCAGATCTGTCCTCGCAGAGGAGGGAGAGCTTGTACCTGAATAAAACTTGGTCTTAAAGGTGCCACTGGACTGTTTTGGGCTGGGGAGGGCTCTGCAACTTACCTGGCTGCTTCTTGCTCTGACTGAGGGCTGCTGGGAGCAGGGGGTGGGGGTTGTTGCATGTGCTCTTTACTGCCGGAGCTCCGCTCCTGTGCGCTCCTGCAGGAAATGACCCCTGAGCTTTTGTCTTGCTTCGGTGGCTAAGAGTGAATTCTCACAGTCTAGCTGTTTTCATTTCTTGCAGCTGAAACAACAAAGTCTTGTGACAAGTTGGTGGGCCTTATTGGCTTCACTTTGTTGTACCGTCATCTACCTTTCTTTGTGTATAGACACGCATACACACGTTTCTGCCAGTAGATTTTAACCTCTGTGTTATCTTATATCATCCCATTCTTTCTCCAAGGAACCCAGGGTAGTAAACATAGTTTTCCCTTCCTTTATTTCATCTTCTCAATAATTATGTGGGGTAGGTTAAGGCTGAGGAAGGAGGACTGGATCAAGGTCACCTAGTGAGCCTCACGGCACTCAGGGATTTGAAACCAGCCCTGGTACAGAACTACTGCACCGTTCCAGCACACGGAAACTTATATGCCAATAAATTAGTTGAGGTTTTTTTTAGGGGGCCACAAGACCATTTTATTTATTTATTTACATTTTTATACCCCATCCTCTCCTCTGCAGTCTCAGATCAGTTTTGTTTCGCTTGCCAAGCCGGTCGTGCCTTTGGAAGTCCATTACTTGCTTGAATTCTCCAGGTGCTTACTTACTTCAGTGCCATCAAGTCGCAACCGACTTATGGAGACCCCCAGCAAGGGGCTTTCAAGGCAAGAGACGAGCGGAGGTGGTTTGCCACCGCCTTCCTCTGCGGAGTCTTCCTTGATGGTCTCCCATTCAAGTACCGACACTGCCTAGCTTCTGAAATCTGATGAGATTGTGCTATACCATGCTGCCTTCCCTCCCAACTCTCCAGGTCACGCGTCGCAGTTGATTCCCAGCGCTATGTGGGTTTAAATGCTCAGTGCTTGTTAAGGAAAAAAAAGAGGTCGTTAGTATCCTTAGTAGTAAGTGGCAGCTGCTTGACAGCCCTGTAAATGAAGCAGATCTCCCCCCCCCTTTATTCCTAACAGCAACAGCTGACTGTTGTCTTTGCTTTGTGCCTGGGGAGGTACTGATAGCGCCATGTCTCTTAGTGCTGTCTAAACAAAGTAATTATTTTTTCAGCTCCGTGTATTAAAAACACTTCTAAGCATTTATATTAGCAGGGCTTCCCTCTAACTAAAGAAAACAGTGCGGGGTTTTTTCTCTCCCGAGAATGGAAAAGTCAGACTGGAGCTTGCTTGGAGGTCAAGAGCAGAGCTTTCCTCTTCATGTTAGGTAAACTGGGTTGATTTAAGTGTAGGCTCCAATCTTCTCTGTGTAACAGTCTATTATTATTTCATTAGATTTGTTTAGTGAGCTGCAATGGAATATGAAATCATGTAGGATAAAGCAGAACAGGAAGTATAAAGAATCATCTAAAGGCAGAGCTTAGCATTTAAGGTTTTTATTTAAAATCAGTCTAACCACTTTTGAAATGATTAAATATGAAAGAATCATTATGATACAAAAAAAACACTTGCATGTGTCAATGGAATCAGAAGCAGAAAGACACATATATCCCCTATCCAATCTATTTTAAGATTAAAAGGTAAAATAAATTTCTGACATTCTCACCAAAGTGCTTCCAGAAAGATCAGATAGTGTCACACAGCCTATAGCAGAGAGATTCAGGGGTGTTTGGGGTGTAGCTGTCATGTAGGCCCAATTATGTGAAATCGACATGACTCTATCAAAACCATATAATTCATCTCCTTGAATATACAATGTATGCGTGTCTGAGCTCAGATTCACCTTCCCCATAGCAATGTTGCAAACTAGTGATCTGATCATTCCTCATTTTGTTTTTTTGTTATTAGATTTAACTTTCCGATAGCAATGTTGCAAACCAGTGATCTGATCATTCCTCATCTTGTAATCCTCATCCAATGATTAATAATTATCTTAACAAAGATGAAACATTAAGAACTTTGGCAAAATGGTAAAAGTAAATTCTGAGGCCTGTTTTGTTCTACCATGTAGCATTAACAGTCAGAGCCTGTGACAGGTCCTGGTATTTCAGACTTCATTCAGCTGGCCACCATACCAGGGTGGTTAGTTCTATCTGCTCACCACCTCCTCTTGCAGGAATTTTCATCATGCAGACTCAGTGTGGCTCCACCTTTCTGACTGAACAGAAAATCCTGCACCGTTTGGGGTACTATAGAGAGATCACTGACACTATTCTGGTCTCCTGTAGAGAGTCCACAAATTGAATCTGCAAAGATGCATAGAATGTAAGATCATGCCATTGCAAGAGAGTTTTGATATTCTCTCTTGGAGCCACAGAAGTCCTGGCCTTTTGAGCCTCTGTAAGGCTTTAGGAGAAGCCCGCTGAAATGTCAAGAGGTTGATTTGCCTGTAGTCCTTGGCAAGGAAGACACAAAGTTGTCAAGGCTCTGATCCAGCCTCTTCTCTTTGCAACTTATTCATCACCTTTTTAGTAGCTACCATCTCTACCAGACAGATATATGACCCTGTGGTGGGTAAAGAGCTTCCATCTCCTGTGCGTTCTAAGTCCACCGCTGTCCCCTTCTTCCAGGATAACTGTGCCTTCCACTAGGGGGCCATGTAAAGTTGCTTTCAGAACCCAAGCACTTTCGTAGAATATGTCTAAGGCAACCCGTTCCACCATTGTTCATCATGATGGACCGGACGTATATTCCTTGGTTGAGGCCACATTGGGTTGGTGGGTACTTCAACAGGTTCTCTCTCAAGGCAAGCCAAGTTTATTACGATCCGAGATCATGTAATGCTATTAACAAAAACAATAAAAAGATTTATCGAAAGAAAAAAAAAGAATTCAAATCAAAGTAATCAGCAAACATTTGCACAGGTTCTCTCCCTGAGAACACCCATAGCGAAGCAATTTTTTTAAATTTTATTGGACTTATAGCCCACCCTCCCCTGTGCAGCAAGGCTCAGGGTGGGTAACAACAAAGTTATCAACAGTAGATTAAAACAAAATCAGATGGCGATTTAAGACACAGAATAGCATAAAATTTTCCAAAGTGGGGTTATACAACCTGTGTGTTGATGGAAACAAGTACAAAGACAGGATGGGTGGTGGTGGGGGGGGGACTGGGGGAGGAATGTCCAATCAACCCAGGAATGTCCACACACTGCCCTGGATTCTCTGCTCCATTGACGGAGAACGGTACATTAATATGTTCCATGAATGTTTCTTCTTGTTAGTGGATTTTGGGAATTCAGCCCTCCTACCAGGGCAATCCTAAGCAGCTGTATCCTTTGAAGCCTATTGGCTTCGGTAGATTTAGAAGGGTAGAACATGTCTTACAATAGCACTATAAGTATGCCACCTTAACTTTAGAATCTAAGCCATTTCCTGTATTATCATCCTTCAGTTTTCTAGTTCAGGCCACTCGCCAGGTGTTCTCAGATCTTCTATGCATTTTATTCTCAGTACATCTTTTAAATGATCCCCTCCCCCCCGTCATTGCTTTCACAATATGTCCTGTATCTTAAAGTTTCCTCTTCTCACTGGCAGACAGAAACACTCAGCTTATTTGTATAGTCCTGCCTAGAGAACAAATGCGAAGGAGTAAACTTGGCTTGGATTCCCTCCAGCAACTGACAAAAAGAAACCTTGACAATACATACCAATGTTCTGTTTTATAATCTGCAATTCTTTCTTGAAAGGTGGATATAGCAAGGTTTGATGCTCTGGAGGAAGTTTGCGCAGAGCTGAAACTGAAACAGCTGTTATGGGATTCTCTCTCTGAATGGGCAATACTTGATGAAGACTGGATGGAGGTAATAAACTGCACGTATTGTTCTTTAAATGACTCATATGACAATTATCCATAGTAGAAATTCTTATTTTTAAAATATAGAGATACATATTTTTATAGGGGAGATCATTATATGACTGCGGATGCAATCCTAAAAAATCTTTCCTGGGGCTTACGTCTGAGTAGACTTTCTTAGGGTTGTGCCCTAATTGTGGAGTCCTAAACAAGTTACGCACCCTTTGAAGTCCACTAACTTCGGTAGACTTAGAAGAATATAGCTGTCGATCAAAAGAAGCTGTTTTTTAATGTTGTTCTGTGGCTTCCTCACCTGCTATGCCCAAACTGAATGCAAGCGAGGACAAAAATCCATAGGTAGAAATGCTTATAAAATTTCATAAACAGAATAACTGAGTTTCCATGAATTCACATTTAAATATATGTGCAAAGGCAGCTCTTCATAGCATGCTGAAGTTTCGATACTTCATCCATAATCCTGGAACATATTTGAAGTTCATGGTATTTTGCCTCAAAGGCAGTTCTTTCTCCTGCTTTGACATCAGAGGGCCCCTTAGACTGCGTGGCTAAGACTGGTAGCTACCAGTATTTAGGTAGTTATCATTGCTGTTCTTCTTTTTAACAATTTTATTTTTCTTCTCAATAATTCTGATGCTTACTCAAACAAGGGGCCGATTATTTCATTTTAAAAATTACTGATTACATGCAAGTCCTCTTTTTGTATGTATTCTTAAATACTTTCTAAGCTTTGTTTCATGGTGTTTGGAAGAGCACAAGATGACATGAATTACTTTGAGTTTCCAGGCATGCTTGTTCTCCAAGCTAGATTGTTTATTATTTTTTCCATTTTTTCAGAGTTGTATAGAAGCCCTGCATCTTCTATTAGAGCCAATTTGGTGTAGTGGTTAAGTGCATGGACTCTAATCTGGAAAACCGGGTTTGATTCCCCACTCCTCCACTTGCACCTGCTGGATGACCTTGGGCAAGCCGTAGTTCTGATAAGAGCTGTCCTTGAAAAAGAGCAGTTTCTGTCAGAGCTCTCTCAGCCCCACCTACCTCACAAGGTGTCTCTTGTGGGGAGGGGAAGGGAAAGGAGTTTGTAAGCTGCTCTGCGACTCCTTTGGGTAGTGAAGGGTGGGGTATAAATCCAACCTCTTCTTCTATTATATTAGCTGTTCTTAGATTTTTGTTCACCAAAATTATGTCAAGTCTGTTGTAATCTATTGTTTATCTCAACTTGTCTCTCTCCACAGAGCAAATTTGATAGCTTGGATCCAGAATCATTGAATTCCCAAGTTTCTAAGTATGCTAAATATGTGAGTCAGTTGGAAAAAGGTTTGCCACCTAATAGCGTCGTTCCACGACTCAAGGAGAAAGTGGAGCGAATGAAAGAAAAGGTACAAATTGACTACATGAAATGACTCTCAGACACATTTCATGTGATTTTATCAAGAACCACTTTCAAATGAAAAATTCAGATTTTGTCTCATTAGTAATGATAATCATATATATTATTCATATAAAACGTGATAGCATATTAAGCACTGGGCATCAAGAATTTTTTTCCAGGACTGTTTCAGTGGTTGCATAATTTTGTTGAAAGAGAAAAGACTGTTAGTGGGTGGATTGAAATAGGGTTATGCTTTCTACTCTAGATGATTTAAAATGACATCCTTCCTAAATTATTTATAAAAAATCTTGGATTCTTTGAGGCTACAGAATGTGCATAGATAGTCTTACTTACTTTTTTGAGTCTTTGTCTCTTACTCTGTACCCCATAGTTCTAACTCTCATACCGAATTTTTTAAATTAACCTGGGAATTCCGGAGCTAATCCTCCATACCAAAATACTGCTTCATTTCTGCACTGATCATGGACTACTTGTAATACACTAGAATTTATTTATTTACTTACTTCATTTGTACCCTGCCTTTCTCCCCAGTGGGAACCCAAAAACAGCTTATATCATTCTCCTCTGCTCCATTTTATCGTCACAGCTACGCTGTGAGGTACGTTAGGCTGAGTGTGAGTGACTGGCCCAAGGTCACCAGCAAGCTTCCGTGGTAAAGTGGGAATTCGAACCTGGGTCTCATAGATCCCAGTCTGACAGTCTAACCGCTGTTCATACCGGCTCTCAGAATCATACATCATGTCAGAGATCTCACGTTTGGATTAATAAATATTTTATTAATATACTAGTAAAGCAACAGATAGGAAATGGAAAAGTATTTGCAATACATTGAGAATCTGGGCAGCAGATAAAGGCATGACAAGAAACCAGTTCATTCAGCTCTCATCTTATGGACAATAAATAAGAACCCAAGCAGCAGCAATTATGTAAGAGATAAGGAATTAAAAAAAATAATCACACAAATAGGTTCAGAGAAGGTATGTCTAATTTTCTGTAGGTAACCATTTTAACATAAAAAGCTCATGGAACTTTAATTGGTTTCAAACAAAGAATTTGAAGAAGGGAATAAGGCTGACAAAGTACTTCCATACAAGAGAGCAAAGCAAAGAATAAAGAACTGATCCCACCATTAAAGGCAGGGCGAGGGATTGTATCTGTGCCCTTGTGGAATATCTAGGAGTTTATTAGTGCCCATTTTCATTTGTATAACTCATACTTAGATGGACTATTTGAATCTTTAAGCTAATTCAACATTCCTGCAATACATGACAAACGTATGAGGACTTTGGAAGTTTTACAGTGCGGAGTTACACTCTTTTACAGTGCGGAGTTACAAGTCCACTGAAGGCATCTGGACTTGGAAGGGTGTCTCTGCTTAGAGCAGAATTTTACAATTCTATTTCTTTTCCAAGTCAAGACTTTTAACATTCAGACTACAATCCTTGGTTTAAGACTGAATGTGCAACAAACCTCATTGTGCGTATATAACTCTCTTCTGGAGAAAGTATCTTGTAGAGACTTTTTTTAACATAATTCACATGTTTCCAAGCCAGGAGCCTTATACAATCTGATTTATGTGATGGTGTGCCAGATAGACTGTCACAGATGTAGGGGATGTTGCATAACTCGTGGATTACCAAGCGCGACAGGAGATTCGTGGTAAAACGTCGTATCCTCAGCGTTGCATGAGCAAATCATAGACAGTTTGTTGACCATCTGCATGCACTTCAGAGAGGAAAATAATTAAATTAAATTAAATTAAACTAACATTTGGTGTGTCTTACTTCTCTAGCTTCCTGTTATCACAGATCTGAGAAACCCTTTTTTGAAACCCAGACACTGGGCAATTCTGGAACAAGTAATTGGTGCAACATTAGTAGATGTGGAAAATCCACTAACCTTGGAGAAACTTGTTCAGATCAATGCTTTTGAATACGGTCAGGAGATTCAAGATATTTCTGGGCAAGCCTCAGGAGAAGCTTCATTGGAGACAATTCTCAAAAAGGTATTTTTAGTACCATTCACACTTTTAATATCTTAATCCAGGAGTATTGAAAAGAAATTGTTTGCATTTGCTGGGTGGAGTTATAAGCACCCACATTGAAATCACTGGAATTTAGTTCTGGGTAAGAAATTATTTTATAATCAGAATCAAAAAGCCTTTATTGCTTCAGGCCGAAGACTGTTGCAAGTTGTGAAAAAGAAGAGAAACAATAAAAACTTGAAAAAGGGGGGGGGACTCAACCCAGGGTATGACTATGAACCAAATAGGGCTAAGCTAAACCATATATATGAAAATTCACTTTGATGGAGGGATGCACATTCAGACCTACAAAATCCCTGTTACCAGAATAAGTTGTGGTGGTGATAAGGCTATACCTATGGCCCATCACTAATACCAGGAGTCCAATTATAAGTAGACAAGGAAACAACATCTGGTTTAATTATATGGATACTAGAATTCTGTAACAGGTCTTTGAATGTGTGTCTAGAATATATAGATAATAGTGACCACTGAGGAAGGCCCTTAGGGGCCGAAACGCGTTTTGTCTTCAGTTGTAAAGTTTTTACCCATCATTTGTATGTAGAGTGAACAAGCTTTTACAGTCTGGTTTTAGACAAAGCAATTTTTAATCAGGAAAGTTTTAACACGTGTACACCTTAATAAATAATATATATTTATAAATATATTTATAAATAATAAATAATATATATAATAAAATATATATAGTTTTCATATATATGGTTTAGCTTACTTAGCCCTATTTGGTTCATAGAGAAACAATAAAATACAGAGTACAAAGGTACCAATCTCCGGACATGAAAACTAGAAGTATTAATAGAGCCTGTGGCTGTAACTTTAAGAACAATTTCCTGGAAGAAAACCCCATTGAATAACATTGGACTTGCTCCTGAGTAAACCTGGTTAAAATTGCCTCCTGAATTCAAGAACATATGATAGTTTCTCCTGAAATGGATGGCCCAGGCTAGCCCAGTCTCATCAGATTTTGGGAGCTAAGCAGGGCCGGCTGTTGTTAGTAAAGTAAAGGTAAAGGTTCCCTTGCTCGAAAGCCAGTCGAGTCCGACTCTAGGGCTGCGGTGCTCATCTCTGTTTCAAAGCCGAAGAGCCAGTGCCGTCCAAAGACGTTTCCGTGGTCATGTGGCCGGCATGACTAAACACCAAGGGGCACTTCGATGGAAAATCACCAGGGAAGTCCAGGGTCGCTACCCAGAGGCAGGCAACGGCAAACCACCTCTAAATGGTTCTTGCCTTGAAAACCCCATTGGGGGGGGGTCACCGTAAGTTGACTGCAACCCGATGGCACTTTCCCACCACCACCATGATGATGATTTGAGTAAAAATGCAAAACGTAGTGTATAAAGACTGAAACCCTAAGTAAGCTTACTAGAAAGTGAGAGTGGGAATGAGCTAGTGTTCCCAGTTTTATTTTAGTTTTCATAGCTGGTTATATTTCTGTCAGCTATCTTGGATCTCCATTATTTTGCAGTGTATTGATTTGTATTGTATGAGCACGCTGTATGTAGGGGTAGATTGGTCATTTACTTTACTGGGAGAAATCTTGGTGGGCTGCTGCCTTCAGCCCTGGGCCACCCCTATATTGTGGCCAAAGGAGAAGAGGTGTGGCTGGCAAAGCATGGAGCTACTAGGCCTGTGCTTCTCCCCACCAGCCAGCAAAGAGGAACCTGAGAACAGCAGCACCCAGCTTCACCCGGTGCCCACAATACCATATTCCCCTCTGCTGGCCCTGCTGTGACCATGCCAGCAAAGAGGCCACAGTGGGTGGCCGGCTTTGCCGGTATTCCTTGTTGCTGGCCCTGCAAATAATTTTGAAAAATGGGCACTGTTAAGTATGAGACTCAACGCAGCTTTTCCAAAACAGTGATTCAGCTTTATTTAACAGGTGTAGAACGAACACAAGCAATGGAGCAACAGGCTCACTTTTAAACTGTCCGGGCTTGGGTAACCACGCCCATCTGTCAGATAACAACCAATCATTAATCGTAGATAACAACCAATAACCAGGTTTCCCTCCAGAACCTTTCCTATGTTCTGATTGGTAAGCTGTTCAGAGCACCCAATCAGATTGTATACTTTTGGATACTGTGTCAGATTGTAAACAGATTGTATACTTTTGGATACTGGCTCTTGACTCAAGCTCTGCAGTATGTAGTTGAATACATAACAGGCACATATGATAGGAAAAATTCAGTGTGAGAAAAGCAAAAATGGCATGAAAACGAGGCATCACAGGTTCAGCTACTACAAAGTAGAAATTAAATCAGGATTGGTTTGGGGGCTTGCAGTGACAAAAACGAGAAATTAAAATTCATCCTTGAATAAGGCTACTCAAATCAGTGAAACCTACTTTCAGATTGATATGTTCAGGATTGAACAAGAATAATGCAGGGGTTCACCACTTTGTTAAACCAGTTAAATCCTTCAATTTTTTAGAACAGGGGCACCATGGTAAAAAGGCTGACATAGGAGGGAAACACAACATGACTCTCATAGGGACAGAGTCCAATCACAAAACTTTGGGGGTTCCACAAAACGTTTGGGGCTTCCGAGCCAAGTAGACAGCTGTTTCCAAATAGATTTCCCTGTGGACACAAAGGTGATGCTGCCTAGGTTTTCCTGCCATGTGATGGAAGAAAGCCGGTTCGGCTTGATGTTTTGGGGAAGAAAGTGGGCACCAGAAAACGCACTGGCAGGAGAGTGACTTTGCTTGGATGAATGTGTTTAACTTACCAATGAAAAAGCTTAGCCTGTCAGATAACTTGGTTAACTTGGTCTGTCTAAGAACTAGCAAATTTCTAAAAGTGAGAGTACAGCTAATTTTAAAAACCTAGTAAAAACAGAAAATAAATTCATACCTTCTCAGTTCTCTTGATTTGAATTTTGTATGGGATATAGGAAAGATGCTTTCTTGGTAAACATCCCAAACACTTCAGGGTGTAAGAGAATAATGTGGTAATCCTATTTTGCTGACATAAGAATTAACTAATAAATTGGTCTACGTATGAGCCATCTTGTCAAAACAGCAAAAAAAAAAATATTACAATTTTCTTCCTACCAGGTAGAAGATTCTTGGAAAACAACAGAATTTATTGTTCTTCCTCATCGTGATTCAAAAGATATTTTTATCCTTGGCGGCACAGATGACATTCAGGTAGGAAAATGCTCGTGGTAAGGGGTAAGCCAGTTGCCCCAGGTTTTTTTCCATTACTGTTCTGCAGTTCTATTATGGTTGAGTTTTGTTCCTAGAGCCTCCGTAAAAGAAATGGTGGCTTTCAGGAAATTGGTAAAACATGGCATGCAAGGAAAATGTTCATGCCTTTGAGAATTCTGAATATGAACACACACACACACACACACCTGACCTGAAAGAAAAAATATTTTATTTATTTTTGTTGTCATTTCCAAGAAGAGCAACAGAACAGCAGTGCTCTAGGGCAACAATTTAAGAAGGACATAGACAAGCTGGAACGTCTCCAGAGGAGGGCAACAGAGGTGGTGAGGGGTCTGGAGACCAAGTCCTATGAGGAGAGGTTGAAGGAGCTGGGTATGTTTAGCCTGGAGAGGAGATGACTGAGAGGTGATATGAATACCATCTTCAAGTACCTGAAGGGCTGCCATCTATTCTAGAGGATGGTGTGGAGCTCTTTTCTGTTGCCCCAGAAGGTCAGCCCAGAACCAACAGGTTGAAATTAAATCAGAGGAGTTTTCAGCTAAACATTAGGAAGAACTTCCTGACAGTTGGAGTGGTTCCTCAGTGGAACAGGCTTCCTCGGGAGGTGGTGGGCCCTCCTTCTTTGGAGGTTTTCAAACAGTGGCTAGATGGCCATCTGACAGCAATGCTGATTGTATGAACTTAGGCAGATCATGAGAGGGAGGGCAGGATGGGTTGCCTCAGTGCTTAGTTCTTGTGGCCCTTTCTCACACGCCCAGGGAAATGCTGATTGCCACTTTGGGGTCAGGAAGCAATTTTTCTCCAGGCCAGTTTTGCCAGGGATCCTGGAGGTTTTTGTCATCTTCTGGTCGTGGAACAGCGGTCACTACAGGTATGAAGGGGGAGGTGTTTGTGAATTTCCTTCATTGTGCAGGAGGTTGGACTAGATGACCCCAGAGCTCCCTTCCAACTCTATGATTCTATGATTCTAACATAAAACAGGAGAACCCCCCCCTTCCAAAGTAGCCTTTCATGTGCTGAAAAACATAAAAAAGGGCTAGTTGTGGCACCTAAGGGGCTAGCTGTTGTGAGGTTTCCGTTTGGTTTTTGTTTTGTTGTTTTTACGTTACTGATGAGTTCTCTTGCAACCGACAGCAACATTGAAACATCCAAATAAATAAATGAACATGGCTTTAGGCACACTTAGGGTTTCTTTTGAAGGGGTCATTTTATTCCCCCCCCCCTCTTTTTGTGCCTACATCGTAGAGGTTACAACTGCAGAAGAACTATAGATTCGGATGCTGTGGGCTCCACTCCAGCAAACATGTTCAGTAATGCAGAACTTCAGAATGCAGGGAGAAACATAGCAAAGCATGATTTTATGAACAACCTATATGTCCTTTAAAAGCAGATAAGGCAGCTTAGAACGAAAGCCTTGAATCCCTAAAGCGTATACCCCCCCCAAAGGTCTTGTCAGTCTTTAAGGTGCTACTGGACTTGAATCTAGCTCTCCTACGGCGGACCAACACGGCCACCCTCTGAAACCATGTTTACGCAATACCGATGTTTTGGTAATAGGCAGAGAATCCAAACAAATGTTATTAAGTATGGTTGGAGCTGCGGTGGCTCAAGTGGTTAAGATGCTGAACTGCAGGCTGTGGAAGGTCAGTAGTTCAGCAGTTCGAGACCCGAGTGTGCCGCATGACGGGGTGAGCTCCCGTCTCTAGTTCCAGCTCCTGCCAACCTAGCAGTTCGAAAGCAAGAAATTGCAAGTAGATAAATAGGTACCATTTAAGTGGGAAGGTAACAGTGTTTTGTGCGCCTTGGTGTTTAGTCATGCCGGTCACATGACCACGGAAACGTCTTCGGACAGCGCTGGCTCTTTGGCTTTGAAACAGAGATGAGCACCGCAACCCTAGAGTCGGACTTGACTGGCTTTTGAGCAAGGGAACCTTTACCTTTAGCTATGGTTGATTCATTTAAACACTGAACTGGATGTCCCAGGCTGACCTAATCTTTTCAGATGTCAGAAGCTAAGCAGGGTCAGCCCTGGTTAGTACTTGGATGGATGACCACCAAGGAAGTCCAAGGTTGCTGTGCAGAGGCAGGCAATGGAAAAGCACTTCTGTTTGTCTCTTGCCCTGAAAGCCCTACGGAATCACCATAAGACGTATGCGCACGGCTTTTTCCTTTGAAAATCCAGTGGGGTCCCCATAAATTAGCTGTGACTTTCTTCACCACCAATTCATTTAAAAGGCCAATGATTGATCAACTGCGAGGTTTTTAGTTGGTTGTCAGCCCAAGAAGCTAACACTTCGTACCTTACTCCAGTGCCATCCTAAGCAGGTCTATTCAGAATCCTATTTATGTCTATGCGATGTGGTTTATTCCCAGGATAGTGCTTTTAGTATTGCACTGTTAGTGTACTTTAGCTGAAACTCAGCTTGTTTTCCCAGTTAACTCTCATCCTTTTAATGAGAAACTCAGCCATCAAAAATACTTTTTTCCCTTCAAGGTCATCCTGGATGACAGTACGATTAACGTAGCAACGATAGCCTCTTCACGATATGTCGGCCCTCTCAAAGCGCGGGTTGATGAATGGCAAAAGCAGCTTGCTTTGTTCAGTCAGACATTGGTGAGTATCACACTACAAAAGAATTTCTTATTGTCTTTTGGTGCCTGCCTTAAAGCAGAGAGGTAACCTTGAAAATGTTATCTAATTTGCACCTAAATGGTACCTGAGAACTGCAGTTGCCAGATGGTTGCAAATTGATATAAATTACCAAGGATACACAGTGCGAAGATTCAGTTATACCGTTATCTAGTCTTTCTTGTGTCAGAGAAGTAGCCAAGAGGTCCCAGTAATCCTGGAAGGAGAAATAGGCGCGTCAGATTATATAGATTTCATAGAGATGCCCATGGAGTGACATTTGCAGAACAAGATAAAATAATGTGCCTTTAATCTTTCGCAAGATAGTGTTTAAACATCAGTTAAGTGAAAGACAAATACCTGCAGTGGCAGATTCTTGATTGGCTATTTTTCGTTTGATCATTCATAGCCTGGAAAAGAGGCATGCCTTTGGCATTATTTGTAGATAATACTAAGTTAACTGAAGACATGTGAAACAATTTTTAACAGGGTCTCGAAAAGTTTAGAGTTGATAACTAGTATTCGGCATTGAAAAGTGCAAAAATAATTATTTTGAGGGTGGATAATCATCTTTGGTTTTACTACACCTAAAAAAGGACGTTGGAAGAACACTGACTAGTACTGTCCCCACTAGGCGTAGCATGTGGTTGTTAAAATTTTATCCTGCTTTCCACCCCAGTGGGGACCAAAGCTACCAATGCAGAACAAAATACAACAACAGAAGCAAATAGCAAAAGAGGGGAAGCTTCTGAGTGATAAGTAGGTCATCTCTCTTTCTCTCTGCTGGCTAATATTCTGCCCAGCTTTAGGCTAAGAACTGAAGGACAAAAGCCCTTCGGTTCATGCTTCTGGTTATGCCCAGGTTGTAAGTACTGGGGAGCAAAGACAGCAAACTTGGTGAGCTTTTATTTAGCTAGCCAGCAGGATCTTTCCCAGATACTCCCATGCCAGAAAGGGCACAAAAAAGAATACCAAAGTATTAGATACTTATCAACAGGACAGAAGAGAGTTGCGGAGGCCATCCACATTTTGACCTTGTTTTACTTGTCACGAATGCCAGCAACCCTGTCACTACGCACACTACACTGTGTCTCCCCGTTCCCATTAGCAGAGGAGGCAGTGAAATGCATACCTCTTTTTTTATGCATGGAGTACCCCCATTGTTTCAATCCATGCCCACACTTATTTGGAATGGATAAAGATGAATGTTCAGTTATAAAGTGATACAAATTGTAAAAAGCCCTGTTGATGTCTTACACAAGAGGAATATGGGAATGCATTCTGCAACAGTATTGCTCTAAATTGAGAAATTTTAGAGTTGTTGTATGTTTATTTGTAAACTAAAGTTATATATATCTTAACTATAGATGTTCTCAGTATGAACTGAGCTAAACTGCTCTCCTTCCTTCCTGAACTGCAAGGGCAGGGACTGAGTAGTTTTGTTGCACAGGAGAGAAACTAGAGCCTAATTCGAAAGGCTGCTTAAAAGTATTTTCTCCTTTATTTTCTAGGAAGAATGGCTGACATGTCAGAGAAACTGGCTGTACTTGGAAAGTATTTTTAGCGCTCCTGATATTCAGAGACAGCTGCCAGCAGAAGCAAAGATGTTCCTGCAGGTGGACAAGTCCTGGAAGGAAGTTATGAGAAAAGTTAATCGTCTGCCAAATGCCCTTCGAGCAGCTACTCAGCCTGGTATTAACATGCCTGAAGTGGCAACCTCCTGCCAATGTTCCCTCCAAGCCAGTGGTTCTCAACCTTCCTAATGCCGCGACCCTTTAATACAGTTCCTCATGTTGTGGTGACCCCCAACCATAAAATTATTTTCGTTGCTATCATAAGACCATTGGAAATTTGTGTTTTCCGATGGCCTTAGGCGACCCCTGTGAAAGGGTCGTTCGACCCCCCCAAAGGGGTCGCGACCCACAGGTTGAGAACCACTGCTCTAAGCTGTGGAGTCTTGTGAGCAAAAATTCTATTTTGTGAGCTACTAGCATTCTCGCTGTGAGCGGGCTTTGACTATCGCATACATTTGTTTTTTTAGAAGCCCTGTAGGCTGGCCCACAAAGTGGTCCCTTCCCATATGAACAGTACCCACCTCTCCCTCCATTTGGGCTGAGCCATTGGGTGGCCTTGGAGTGTGGACAGCCAAGCTGTTTGTTTTGGATTAAATGGTTTTTGCTTTATTGGGCAAGGTCCAACGACGCGCACAGCTTAGAGGGAACACTGAACCCGGGTCCCCCACGCTGGCTCTTTATTTGCATGTTTACTTCACTTATACTCTGTCTTCCTCCTCAGTGGGGGTCCAGAGAGGCTTACATCATTCTCCTCTCCTCCATTTTACCCTCACAACAACCCCTGCAGAGTAGGTTAGGCTGAGAGAGAGTGACGGGCCCAAGTCACCTGGGCTTTGGCCAGAGTGTGACACAGAGTGTTGGACTGGATGGGCCATTGGCCTGATCCAACATTGACTTCTCTTATGTTCTTATGTCACTCGCGGCAGACAGGGGATCGGAACCTGAGCCTCTTAGAGCATAGGTGGAGGCTCTGACCACTATGCCACTGATAGCTCTACCTTCATGTTTCCTAAGGGGATCAGGGACGGTGATTTCCCATAAAATTTAATCTATCGCAGTGATTTTCAACAGTCATTTGGTTTAATACATGTAGACAAATTAGTAGGAATCTGAGTCTGCTTTATCTTTTTAAAATAAACCCACAAATGAGCCTTCTCAGTCACATCCTACATTTCCTTCTTGTGTTATGATTGATATCAATCGTGTTGTTTCATGTAGTCTTTGATATCCTGTTTTACTATATTTTTTTCCTATCCCTCTTTCCCCCCTGCAGTATATGGTTTTCTCTACTTTGTGGTAACTTTTCCCACAAACCCAATGACTAAATGATCCCAGTCGCTCACCGTGTGTATGTTCTACATAGATTAGTGTTAAATATAACCAGCTCTGATGCTGGCGACATCATATGCTTGTGTATTGTTGAGTTATTGTTGCTTGTCCAGTGCATCTTGATAAGGCACCTGGCTGAGGAGACTGTTTATTCCCCCCCCCCTGTTGGCAGTTTTAAATTATAATTTTAATTTGTGGCCTTTTATGTGTTTTATGTATTTTTATGTTTTATGTTAGGTTTACATTGTCAGCTAGCTTGAGTTCCATAAGACAGAAAGGCAGCTAATAAATATTTTAAACAAGTAAATAATTTTCATTAGAGTGCATCACATTTGAATAGGGTTGCCAAGTATGATCTTCACTGCAGCGGGGGACTCCCGGCTGGCGGCTGGAGTGCGTGTGCGCGCGCCGCATCCTTGTCACTCGGAAGTGACGCGACCACGCCAGGCACGCTGGGGGCGGGGCCACGACCATCTGAGGGAAAACCATAGAGTTTTCCCTCGGATGACTGTGGCCTCGCCCCCAGCGTGCCCGGCGTGGTCGCGTCACTTCCGGGTGACATGCATGTCGGGGTGGGGTTCCTCCTGGGGCCCGATCTGCCAGCGGCGGGGAATGGGCCTCTGGGGCAGGGGTTTCCCCGCCCCCCGGGGGGACTTGGCAAGCCTACATTTGAAGAAAGGTAGTCTGTATTACAAACCATTTTATTTTCTTTCTCCTCCTTTTTCAACCCAGTACACATGCATGCCTTTTTTATTTTCAGTGTGCAAGTGTACTAAATGTTGTTTCTCTGACACAGGCCTGTTAGAGACCTTCCAGAATAACAATGCCCTTCTTGATCAAATTCAGAAGTGCCTGGAGGCATATTTGGAGTCCAAGAGAGTTATCTTCCCCAGGTTAGTTGTGACTGAGTAACAAGATAATGAAGTCTGAACACTTGTGTTTTTTTTCTTATAATGAAGGATATGGTCTAGCTACAGCTGAGAATTTTGTAGTCCAGTTGATTTCAGTGGAAAAGGTTAAGCCTTGCTTTCCATGGGAAAAGTAATTCCTTTCATTCCGATCGATGAGGACTTAAATGTGTTCAACTTCAGCTGGATCGTGTTCCTAAGTTTTAGGTTTTAAGTTATTGAAAATAATGTACAATTTAATTGCTTATTTAGTCTCCAGTCTTACATTTGTTTGTTAGTAAGTTCCACTGAAATAAAATATATTTTAGAGTAGCCCATCTGCCTGCCCTGAGCTGGATAGCCCAGGCTAACTCAGTCTTGTCAGGTCTTGGAAGCTGAGGAGGGTCAGCCCTGGCTAGTATTTGGATGGGAGACCTCCAAGGAATAGCAGGGCCGTGATGCGGAGGCAGGCAATGGCAAACCACCTCTGAATGTGTCTTGCCTGGAAAACCCTATGGGATTGCTGTAAGTCAGCTGTGACTTGACAACAAAAAAATAGGCAGCCTTCTGCCTAAAATTATCCCGTTTCATGTAACATATGATTTATAAATGATCAAGGTACATTTTGTAAAAGTTGCATTTTTTAACATTTTCAGTATTGTCTACAAACAGGTTTTACTTTCTATCGAACGATGAACTTTTGGAGATTCTGGCTCAGACTCGGAATCCTCAAGCTGTTCAGCCTCATTTAAGGAAGTGCTTCGATTCAATCTCTAAACTGGAATTTGCTTTTACGGCTCCAGCCGAGGGAGAAGAAAAGGTTCTCACCAATGATATCTTAGCAATGCTGTCACCAGAAGGGGAGCGGGTAAGCAGTTGTTTAACAGCAGTCTCTCATGATGGACTGTGAATGTCTAGGGAAGGGAGACTGGTATGTTGCAAGTAGTGATGCATGATTCTTTCCCCCACCCCCCCTTCACTTCACATTACTCAGCAAACAGCTTAGCTTAGCCCGGAGGCGGCCAAACTTGCTTAACCTAAGAGCCACATAGAATAAACATCAGATGTTTGAGATCCGCAATTAATGAACAAATATTACACACATGTTTTTGTTGTAAAGTATGCAAATTGGCTTTTTATTCACATTAAACGAGACTGCCATAAAATAAAAACAAAAGGGGTACAAACAGATATTGAAAATGATATTTATTTGTCCAATGGTATTTATTTGTCTAAGAGAGAGAGGAGAGAGAGAGAGGTGGAAAGAAAGAATGAAAGAGGTGGAAAGAGAGAGAGAGAAACAAAGAAAGCAAATAGATGGGGGGAGGGAGGTGGAAAGAAAGGAACTTTAATTTTAAATGTGTTCTCCAAGCCCACTGTCTGCTGGCTGGCTTAGTGAAGGGATTTAAAGAGTCAAATGCCTTCTCCAAGCCAGCCAGCGGGAGGGGGGGTACCTTTGAGAACACATTTAAAGTTAAAGTTGCTGTCTTTCTCTGCTCTCATCCACCTCAAGCCTACCCGGGAGTGGAAGACTGGCTGGGGAAGGGAAGACCAATCAGGGAGGCATGCCTGCCCTTCACTCCCTGAGCCACCCTGCCTGGGAGCTGCACAATATGTGTGAAAGAGCCGCATGGGGCTCCCGAGCCGCAGTTTGACCACCCATAGCTTAGTCCAATCCTGAGTACAAGAATCCAGATCCTCCTGGTGTTCCTAATGATAAGAAGCAGGTGGTTGGCTAAGAGGCAGGAAGATTCTCTTTTCTTCTCTCTTTAAATTCCCTTAGGGCACCATGGATGCTATGTTCTCTCACTGAAAGGTCCCTTATGTGTATGGGATGGAGCATGCCATGCTTCACTGGGTATATTGGAATTTATGCGTTCCAAGCTACCCATTGTGAGGGATGGAAATATGAAAAAATGGCAACCATTCACCTCCATTATAAGAATAAACTTGCTCTCCACCTCTGGACCTGTTTTTCCAGGTCCGCCTCATCATGTGCATCATCCCATCCAGCATTCTGTTTCTTGGTCACATTGGGAAGTAGAGCTGAAGGTTCAGGATAGGCTAAAAGCTGCTTCATCCATTGCTGTACGCTCTTTTTGTAGCAGGAACTCCTCTGCATATTAGGCGACACACCCTTAATGTAGCCAATCCTCCAAGAACTTACAGTAGCCCCTGTAAGAAGAGCTCTGTAAGCATTTAGAGGGTTGGCTACATTATGGGTGTGTCGCCTAATATGCAACGGAGTTCCTGCTACAAAAAGAGCCCTACCTGATCATGATGTCCCGGTGCCCCAGTGTGGATAGCAAAAGCCTCACAGTGGGTCCACACACAAAAGGGAGAAAAGGTGCTCCATAGCCAGGAAGGACTCCAGGTGTGCAGTGAATAGTTCATGGCACCCTAACCCCTCTACTCGGGATCCTTCTGGAGGGATCAATCCAGTCTGGCCATGCACTGGAGATGCATAAACAAGACAGGGCATTGGAGTGACTGGGAAGGAAACCTTTTGCCATACCAGCCCTGTTGGTATTCTGCTTTGGAGCCTTAGCAGAATGGGATTAGATAAAGGCTGTTTTCCTGTATATCTCCTGGCACGGCACAGACATTGAATGCTTCCCATCTGCCTGCAGCTGGTGGTTGACTGACACATTCATATTTTTCTGTGACTCCTGGAGCATACTCAGTTCTCATGAGGTTATTTCTTTTGGTGCTTTTCCCGCTTTTGTTTAATTTACATATTCATATGTGTTCTGCATAGCTGAAGATCCCCAGAGGACACATTAATGTCTTGTCTGTGTGTGAAGTACCTTACTGCTGTTATGATTGGTATGAGCCACCTACTTCACTTTTAAATATAGGGAAAATCTGGCTGGTCGCTTTTATTGTGGCGTCAGTAGTTTTAAGGGAAACATCCACTTGCTGCGCTAATGAACTTAAAGAGTTGTATAAAGATTAAATGAAATGATTGCTTTTTTTTTTTTTTTTTTCTAAGGTCGGCTTAGGAAAAGGACTTAAGGCCAGAGGAAATGTTGAAGACTGGCTTGGCAAAGTTGAAGAAGCAATGTTCACTTCCCTTAGGCGCCTCAGCAAAGCTGCCATTGCTGATTATCAGACCAAAGAGAGAGTAGAATGGGTTGTGGCTGGACATCCCTCTCAGGTAATGGCAGTCATTTGAGCTTATAGGCGGGTTGTTGGTTTGTTTGTTTGTTTTTCCCCTGGATAGTCTGGGCTAGCCCGATCTCATCAGATCTCAGAAGCTAAGCAGGATCGGCCCCGGCTAGTATTTGGATGGGAGACCTCCAAGGAATACCTGGGTTGTGATGCGGAGGTAGTCAATGGCAAATCACCTGTTAACATCTGTTGCCTTGAAAACCCTGTGGGGTTGCCATAAGTCAGCTGTGACTTGACTGCACTTTCCACTGTCAAATCTTGCTGAGCGTCCATGATGATGACTGTATGTTTAAAGGTAAACATGCCCAGTTCCTGGTGATGGAATTTCCCAAATCAATCCCCTTCATTTGTAGCTTGTATCCTTGTTAGAGGTAGCTGTTTACACTGGATAAAAAATGACGAAGATGAAGGGTTCCCGTGGAACACCCACTGAGTGAATGGGAGTTGTACAAGAGGACAATATTCTTGCATTACTAGCATTCATTCAGTGGGACTTGTACAGGAGAAATTCTCAGCAGAATAAGGAGAATACACTGTAGTCAAAAGATACCTTCGTTAGGAGACACCAGATGCCACTATGTTCTGCTATGTTTTCTTTGCACAGGTTGTGCTCACCATTTCTCAGCTCATGTGGTGTCGTGATCTAACCCAGTGTTTAGAAGGAGAGGATCTTGATCATTTAGAAGCTCTGGCACAATTTGAATTGGAGAACTTTGATGTGAGTATTCATACCTCCCAGTTTTTTAAAAAAAAGTTATATGGATTTACTGTGAGTTCTTGGCATAGTCTCCTTAACAATAATCATCCATTGGGGTAATATCTAGTATATAATCTATTGGGGATTATATACTGGAGAAGACTCTTGAGAGTCCCTTGGACTGCAAGAAAATCAAATCAGTCAATCCTAAAAGTAATCAACCCTGACTGTTCCCTGGAAGGCCAGATAATGAAACTGAAGCTCAAATACTTTGGCCACCAAATGAGAAGGGAGCACTCCCTGGAGAAGACCCTGATGCTGGGAAAGACTGAAGGTCAAAGAAGACGGGGACGGCAAAGGATGAGATGGTTAGACAGTGTCATAGATGCAACAAACATGAAATTGAGCAAACTTCAGAGGACGGTGGAAGACCAGAAGGCCTGGCGTGATCTGGTCCATGGGGTCGCGAAGAGTCGGACTCGACTGTGCGACTGAACAACAACAACAATCCATTGGGGTAATACCTTTGGCCACTGTGTAAAATGCAATTCTTCCCTCCCTCCTTCTATACACGCCCTGGGGGATCTTAATATGAGGCAGGCACCTTAGCTTAAAAGGTTACAGTTGTTCTGAAGGGTTCCCTTCACTCTGAGGCCTCTGCTCGGGTGTCTGGGCCAGCACACGGCAATGGCCGCCTCTTACAGACCTCAGATAAGACTTTTGTCTGCTCGATGGAATCAGCACACAAGAGAGCCTCCTCATCCCTTCGCAGAGTTTTATCATCTCTTTTTCTCCTCCCACCTTAAGTCCTCCAAATCTCTTTTTTTTTCCCTGCTCGATGTCACCTTCCTAGTTGGGGTTGGGGGGAGGGGTAAGCTTGACCATCCCATTGTCTCCCGCTCTCGACCTACTAGCATTTCTAAATGGTGGCTGTAGTGAGTGATTGAATTGACTTCCCTCCTCCTGCCTGTTCTCTGCCAAGAGAGAGAGAACTTTTGAAAAATTAAAGGTGAACGTTTTGCTCAGTTCGGAGCTCCAAAGAAAAATGTGTTCCCTCACAGTTTTTATTTGTTTTAATTTCGTAGAGATTAAATGCATTGGCTTCACTAGTCCGTGGCAGTCTCCCAAAACTGCACAGAAATATCATAACAGCACTCATAACAATTGATGTACATGCAAGAGATATTGTTACTGAGCTTGTACAACAAAAGGTATGTTAAAATTATTTAAGTAACATTTGTATATTTATAGAATCATAGAATAGAATCATAGAATCACAGAGCTGGAAGGGGCCATACAGGCCATCTAGTCCAACCCCCTGCTTAATGCAGGATCAGCCTAGAGCATCCGCTGCTTAAAGACTGCCAGGGAGGGGGAGCTCACCACCTCCCCAGACAGCTGATTCCACTGTTGCACAACTCTTACTGTAAAAAAAGTTTTCCCTAAGATCCAGACGGTACTTTCCCGCCTTTAATTTAATCCCATTATTGTGAGTCCTATCCTCTGCTGCCAACAGTAGCAGCTTCGTGTCCTCCTCTAAGTGACAGCCCTTCAGATAGTTAAAGAGAGCAATCATGTCCCCCCTCAACCTCCTCTTCTCCAGACTGAACATTCTCAGGTCCCTCAGACTTTCCTCATAGGGCTTGGTCTCCAGGCCCCCGGTCATCCTCATCACTCTCCTCTGCACATGCTCCACTCTGTCCACATTCTTTTTTAAGTGAGGTCTCCAGAACTGCACACAATACTCCAGGTGCGGCCTGACCAATGCAGTGTACAGCATTACTGTTTTTAAAACTACTTTTAAAATGAAGCTCTCATAAACATTTTCTATTATTTGTATAGGTGGACTCTGTGGAGAACTTTGATTGGCAAAGACAGCTGCGTTACTATTGGGACCTTGATCTGGACAACTGTGTGGCTAGGATGGCTCTGTCCCAATACACTTATGGTTATGAATACTTGGGGGCATGCCCAAGATTAGTGATCACCCCACTTACAGTAAGACTTTGCTTTTGTCTTAATGCGTGTACTTTAAAATATAAAAAAGTTATGCTTGCAATATAAATTGGCAATAAGTAGAGTTAATCACTTCTGCTGACTGTGTTTTCATAAAAAACATGTGTTCCAAAAGCTTATGAATAGTCAATGTGAAGTATTTAGAATTTCTGCACTCAGAATGACTTCTGCCCGGGAATGGAGATCAAAAGTAGTTTTCAAGAGACTTTTAAGGTGGTCTAATAGGGGCCATCGTTTTTGTTGTCTCGCTGTTATCTCTGTTCAAGGCTATTTTTCAGGGTTTTGAAGCACTACAAAACCTCCAAACCCAGAGATGATAGCGGGACTGAATAAGAGAACAGTATTCATGTAACATGCAAGAGTGGTTCTTTCAGACCATCCTCAACTCCAGGGGTCATTTCATAGAAAAAGGGGTGCAGGAGCTCATTAGCATAACTCATTAGCATAACTTATTTGCATATGCCACACCCCCTGACATCACCAGAAGTGTGTCAGAAGGCAACACCCACCACTTAGGCTCCACTGGACTGTTTTGGATTGCTAGCTATTGGGGGGAAGGAAACGTGCAGATCTGTCCTCGCAGAGGAGGGAGAGCTTGTACCTGAATGAAACTTGGTCTTAAAGGTGCCACTGGACTGTTTTGGACTGGGGGGAGCTCTGCAACTTACCTGGCTGCTTCTTGCTCTGACTGAGGGCTGCTAGGAGCAAGGGAAGGGGCTTGTTGCATGTGCCTGCCCCCTGGGTTCTTTACTGCCGGAGCTCCACTTCGGTGCACTCCTGCAGGAAATGACCCCTGCTCAACTCTCTGAAAAACATTATCATCTGCTTTACCTCTTATCTCAATAATGGAATGACAGTTCTGAGGTAGCTAAGATAGCCTTAGCGATCTCATGCTAAATTATCATTTTAACAACCCTTAGCGTTTAAAATTCTTTTCTGAGCTCACTCCTTCATGGCCCTCACTTGTGGTATTGTGATGCTGCTTAGTGTTTATGAATCCTGAGCTGTTTCAGTTGAGTTCTGCAGAAATTGCATATGTGTACTCAGGACTGCATTCTCTAAGAGAGGCTCTAGCCTCTCAGTGCCTGCCTTTTTCGTCTTGCTAACTTGGAACTCCCAGTAACTTGTTCTTCCATGTCTAGTATTTGAAATAGATTCAATTTATCATTGTAGGCAATTTGGCAGGACTCCAAGATATAGTTAAGGTGCCATTGTAGTAATGGTGCAAGTATTCTTAACTAGAGGATGAATATTTGTAACCCCTTGGTCAGGTAGTTTATTTCCCCAGTCGCACACGTGAAGGTACTGACTGTTTGTACATAGTTCATGAATTATGTATGTTGTGAGGCTGATTATCTCTACAATGTTCTTCCATTTAGTCTTATTCGCATTTCCAGTAGCATTCATTAAGTGCCTTGTCACCCTTACAGACTTTTGGGGAGGTATTCGGCAAAATTTTAATTTATCCCTCATTTTTAGCATATGATTTTTGGTTTTTTAATTTTTTTTTGTCAAAATAAGATAAAGAACCATGATACAGTATTTTGTGGTATACCAAAGTTTTCTCTAGTGTTTGTTCCTTGTCCTCTGCCCAAGATTCTTTCCAAAACCCATCCCCTGCAGTGAAGAAATTCAGTGTTTATGTGTTGCATAGCCGTTTTTTTTTTTTGTTTTTTTTTAAAAGAGGTGCCAGAACTCTCAAGAGGGAAATGAAGTTTTCAGTCTGCATACTGAAAACTCATGAACTTTTAAACATTTTAAAACGAATTTTGTCGAAGAGGTTCTGGAACTCCATTCCGGCACATTCCCCCAGAAAAAAAACAACCCCCGACTGTTATCACCTTATAAGCCCTGGCCAATCCACATAAAGGTATAGTGGGGGTGCGTGTCAAATGTAATCATGATAAGGCTTGGCTTGAAAATTCCACCTGTACTTTGTATCCAAATCAGTCATCACCCTTTCATGTTATCTGGAATTTTTGAAGCAGCAAAAGTTTCTGTTGCTTTGTGTTTTACATTTAAAAGTACAGGATCTCCACAAGAAGGATGTAGATGTTGGTATCCATGCAGTTCTCATGGTTTGTTTGTATCATCCAAACCAAACATATATAACTGTAGTGTTTGACAAGAAGATCTCCATTACTGTATGGTGTACTTGAAATCTTTGCATTATTCTGAGTAGATGTGGTATGACATGGTTATGGCAGCTTAAGTATACTTGTGAACCATACAAAGGAAGCACTCAGCAAGCCCTGAAGAACATCTCAGGCCCCTGCCACATGGGGGGGGGGGGAAGCACGGGCAAAGTGCGGCTTTTGAAAGCTGCACCAAAAGAGACACGCAGCGGCGGGATCACATAGATCCCCTGAGCCACTGCACAGTTCCTCCCTGGCACGATCAGATGCCGGGGCGGAAGCCACTGAAGGCAGAGCGCAGCAGCCGAACTGCGCATGTGTGCGCATGCACAGTTCGGCCGGGAGCCTGGATTGCTCTGGACGACGGGTGCGCCGGCGATCCCACGGCCGCGCTTGATGCGGCGTTCCTGGTTAGTCTTCCTCTGTAGGGGGTTCTTTTTTGCAGCGGGTTTTCCGGCTTTAGGGACGGATCGGGGACGGGTGCGCGCCGCTTCCCAGATGTTGCGGTGAGATTGCGCCCGTTTGCTGCGCCCCCGATCCGTCCCTCTCCCGGGCCAAAACCTTCCGTGTGATCGGGACCTCAGTCTTCTTTTTGATAGTCTCTAGCTACAGATCCCCCCCCATGCAAATTAGTAAAATATTTGGTTAATCTCTGTGGCATCTGTATAGTCCTATATTGGGGATTGTGCGTGCACAGGCCAGCTGCAGTGATGAAAGTTCTGATGAACTGTCCTTCCTCCATGGTGGCAAATGGAGAACTGAGTGAAGGAGCACTCTTCCTCCTTGGTCACATGCTGGTTTTGGCAGGAAAGGGCTAGCACGTGGCTGATGGTGGGGGTAGTGCTCCTTGAGCTATAGAAAGCACTGGAAAACTTTAGAACTTTCACCTCCACAGCTGGCCTCCCCATGCCCAGTTCCTAATGCATGCCTGCACAGAAAACCACTCAATGAATAACAGTTACAGGTAAGTGCAACCACATTTTCACATTTTCAGATGCTCTTCCTAATCTACCTGGTCCTGCAGTGTAGGCATGCTTGTGTCAGAGTTTCACAGTGTCCTAAAGGCTTACATTCATATGGCTTACCTCGGGTGCCTTAGGCTTGTTAGATCTCAAACATATTTGTGAAAGCCGAAGTTCCCCTCAGTACTCCCTCATGTGTGGTACTAGTTCAGTGATGGCGAACCTTTCAGAGACGGAGTGCCCAAACTGCGACCCAAAACCCACTTATTTATCTCAAAGTGCCAACACGGCAATTTAACCTGAATACTGAGGTTTTACTTTAGAAAAAACAACTCATACATTAACTTAAGATGATCCAAACAAAGTAAGGAAAGCAATCCCAAATGCTTTCATTTACTTAAAATTATTTGGCAGAGAATTCGACACTTTAATGATGGTCTGGGCCTGGCTGGGGCGATGGCACGCGTGCCTACAGAGAGGGCTCTGAGTGCCACCTCTGGCACCCATGCCATAGGTTCGCCACCACTGTACTAGTTTATACTCGTGATGTGGCATATCGCTTATGGTAAGCTTTTCCCATGAATTCTGTTGCTGATAGCTGGGCTTTATCGACAGTGGCTTAAATCACACATGAAGCTGCCTTATACTGCATCAAATAACTGATCCATCAGGTCCAGTATCATCCACTCAGACTGGTCTGACCTATCCAGGATCACATTCAGAGGTCTTTCACAACACCTACTACATGGGCCTTTCAAATGGAGATGGCAGGGATTGGACCTGGGACCTTCTGCATGCCAAGCAGATGCTCTACCACTGGGGCACGGCTCCTTCCCACCACTCATATGTAGTGCCATTATTGGTGTCTAGGGTCAAAGTGCACTTCTGGTACAATCACACTGGTGTACTGCGGTGCTGCTGTTTTGTCATATTCCTTGCTGATATTCCGTACCCAAAGGCCGTGTTGTTTTCTTGGTGCTCATCAGGACCGTTGCTACCTCTGCCTGATGGGAGCATTGCAGCTGGACCTAGGTGGAGCCCCAGCTGGACCTGCTGGCACTGGCAAAACAGAGACCACAAAAGACCTGGCAAAAGCACTTGCCATCCAGTGTGTTGTGTTCAACTGTTCAGATGGCTTGGATTATAAGGTACAGCCCTGAAATATGTTTTTATATGCTATCTCTGAGTGAAGTGTTCTTATTCCGTAACGTTTTATATTCAGCAGTCTGAATAGGGAACTGACATTTGTGATTCTGAAAGACAAAACAGTGGTTTTAAACAAACTTCTATACAATGTGTTGTTGACCATTGGATGCCATACTTGGGGCTGGCAGAAGGCAAGGGGTTGAAGCCATAAACCAGTAGGAAAACTGTGCTCAGAAAAGCAGTAGGCTGGTTTGTGGAGAATGTGTCCACTGACACCTGTGAGCAAGGTGATTGTTCATTTTGCAAGGTATCCACAATCTCTGATAACTGAGATGTAAAAGTTGTCCTAGCAGGCCAAATAATCCAGATTTGCCCGAGCTCCTCAAAGTTTGGGAAGTAAGCAGGGTTGGCCATGGTCAGTACTTGGATAGAGGCTACCAAGAAGATGGGTTGCTATATAGAGGAAGGCAGTGGCAAACCACTCCTGCTCATCTCTTGCCTTGAACACCCCGTGGATGGGTCACCATGAATCTTTTGAGACTTGATGGCACATTATTCATTCAACTCCTGAAGTACACATGCAGCAGAATGAAGCAGTAGAATGTATTGTACCAGTTCAGACTGTGGATGAGGATCGTATTTTTGAGTACTCCCCTGCATAAATCTCCCTGTAAGTATAAAACTAACAGGGAGTAGGTTGTGTTAGAAATTATGCTAGTTTTTCTGTTGCAGAGAGTTTCTTACGCATCCTGCCCAGTAGCCTGGAATGATACAATTCCATCTAACACCTCAGGATTCTACCACCTCATTTGGCTGAATGTGTAGGCCAGTCCTGACAGTAGATGATGTGGAGATGGATTGTTCTTTCATTGTCCAGTGGCTTCTCATGCTGATGTTGAAAGAAAGATTGTATTAGGATACAGCTAATTTAAGTCATCCCAGGCTGCGGTCACACACACTAAACAATCCACTTTTAATCCACTTTCAGTGCACTTTTGAATTGGATTTTGCCAGTTCACACAGTAAAAACCCAGTTGGAAAGTGGATTAAAAGTGGACTGAAAGTAGATTATTTAGTTTGTGTGACCGCAGCCCTAGTTCTTTTTAAGTTTTACAAAGTCTGCATTACAATGCACCTTTGCAGCAATTGATGTTTCCATATTTGTTTCAGAATCAAACAGTTTAGCAATTTGACTCAGGCCTCGTACCCCCCACAAGGAGGGAGAGGACATGAATAGCCCTCACTTGGGCTATCAATCCATTTCATTCTGTGTCTTATCATACTGTAGCTTACTGGAGCTGCGAGGCTGAGATCCAATAAAACACACTAATGTTGTTGTTTCAGATGATGGGACGTTTCTTCAGTGGCTTAGCACAGTCTGGAGCATGGTGTTGCTTTGATGAGTTTAACCGGATTGATATTGAAGTTCTCTCTGTGATTGCCCAACAGCTGATTACCATTAGGAATGCTAAAGCTGCAAAGGTAAGATCCATACCTTGGGGGGCAGTAGGAGACCTTCTTTATGTATTTAATTTCTTGCCTGTTCATTTTATTGGACAATTGGGTTTTTTTAAAGTAATACATTTCCACATCTTTCTTTCCAACAGTTTTCTAGGTTTATGTTTGAAGGACGTGAAATAAAGTTGGTTATGACTTGTGCAGCATTCATCACAATGAATCCTGGCTACGCTGGACGGACGGAGTTACCTGACAACCTGAAAGCTCTCTTCAGGCCATTCTCAATGATGGTTCCAAACTATGCTTTGATTGCTGAGGTACCTTTTCAAGAGAGCATTTCTGAAACTCGGGTCCTGGGGTGATATTCGGGGAGGGGGGGAGCAAGCCCCTTTTACAAATAGAGAGTGAGCTTTTCTCATTCCACCTGGCTAATATGAAAATGGAGCCCCCTCAGTTTTCTGTGAAAGAGGGGAAGGGGACAGAGTGTACTGCCACATCTTTCAAACGGTGGGAAGTCGTGTTGCTGCTGCTGCTTGCAGTCACTTGGCTTAAAGAGTGCTAGCCAGGAAACCTGCTGAGTGATTGCTGGGAGCCAGTAGGTCAGCTCTGAGAATTCCGACTATCTGAGCGGCGCCAAGGGGGATGAGGTCCTAATGCAGTCACTGTAGTTATTTCTAGCATACAATCTTAACTGGTTTTCGTTCTGTTTTTCCAATGCAAAGGATTTCAGCACGCCGTTCTGCATCAGTAGAGAATAACAGCCAGTGGTGGTTTTCAGTTAAATACTTGAAGTTCAGCTTTTGTGTGGCACTAGTCTTTTTCAGCAGTTCCGCAAGTTTTTCCAGGCTCCTTTCCCACTCTATTCTGCTGGCCTCTAAGACATTATGAAACAATAAGAAAGTTTCTTGCTCTCTTTGGTGCAGAGCCCCATCCGGCCAAGGGATGATGCTGATTAGAACTTGGGTTGGGGGTGTTTTGAATTGTGCCCCTGTAGACTCAGATACCCTCCGAGACCTGACCTTTGTAGGCCATGAACAGTCAATGCTGTGTTGTTGTTGTTTTTTAAGCCTGTTTTTACACTGTAGTTGATAAGGGTCTCACTATATTGTTTTTGCTTTAGAAAGGGACTGTCAGTTGTGTGGTGTGTGGAAGGAGGAAGGGATGGTTTGGTGACTACCCTGTTCTCCTCCTGAGTGTTCTCTGTTTTGATCTGAATGTGCACTGGGCAATGTGGAAGCTCTGTCCCAAAGGAACAGAGAGGATTTGACAGCATCCAGGACTTCACTGCCCTACTCAAGCCCTGTTTGCTTCAGCTTTAGGTTTGCTGTCTGCCAAACGATTACACCTATCCCCACTTTGCCTGTTTACCTAGAGATGTGTTCCTGGTGAGTTCTAGGGTTGCAATACATAAGAAGGGAAGGATGTAACTGATTTTCGTCTTTGTATTATCATTGCCTGCTGTTTCCCAACTGGAAATCCCTGCCTGATTTCTGAGTTCTCGGGGCCTCTCTATCTGCTTTAGTTCGACTGTATACCGTTTTCATCACAGAAGCACATTCACTTATGTTTGATTAAAATACTTGTGAATGGTCACTCTTACACTGGTTGAATGTTCTAGGATTTTTTTCCATTAGCATATTTAATATATTTTCAGTATAAGTGTAAAAGTTTCTTGGGCGTAAACCCTGTTGAATAGACCTGAATAGGAAGCTGAGTAGACCTGCTTATATTGCACTGTTACTTTCATAAACAGAAGAAGCCTTCATGTCTTAAGAGCACATAACTAGCACGCCTTATTACCTCAGTTGTATATTGGCATGACTTCACTTGGAACTAGAGTGTAGGCTTGTTGGTGCTCTTATTCTGTTTAAGTTTCCTATTGTTTTGTAAGAGCTCTGAACACGCCTTTTGTGTATTTCAGGTTATTTTGTATTCTGAAGGATTTGAATCTAGTAAAACACTTGCGAGGAAGATGACTCAAATGTACAAGCTCTGTAGCGAGCAGCTGTCTCAACAGGACCACTATGATTTTGGAATGAGGGCTGTCAAATCTGTCTTAGTCATGGCAGGGTAAGGAGCCACATGCTGTTTGAGACCTAATTCTATTGTGAATATTCTTTACCGGCTTGGAAACATGACAGTATTTACATTGATTCCTATTTGGCAGAAGAAAAGAAACAGCCATTTTAATTATAGTTATTGGATGTGAATGTCAGATTTGCACAGATTTCACAGACTGAAGTTCTGCAGGATTTTAATGTGTACACGTAGGCAAGCAGATGCTACTTTAGTATTAGGGAACTTCCTATGTTGTGAGGAACTCCCATGTATGCAGTGAAGCCCTTGTATGTACAGCAGGACTGCTGGATCCATGTTTTGGTGCTGGTATGATTCATAACCGAGCCCACCACTCATTCATGGAGATCTTCCAGGGTTTTGTTTCTCCAGCTGTTTTTGCCACTGACCAAAACGGAAGGGAAGTCAAAACGCCGAGAGGTCACCTGATGGACTTCAAAACATGGCAGTGTTTGCCTTGGTGGGATGCATGTTATATTGGCCTGATTTTATGAAAATAGAAAATGATCTTGCATGAATAAGTCAATCAGCCCACAAAATCCTGGTGTCATTCAGGACTATGAAAGTCTGCATTAACCAATATTACTTTTGAAGTAATACTCATAAGAACATAAGAGACGCCAATGTTGGATCAGGCCAAAGGCCCATCCAGTCCAACACTCTGTGTCACACAGTGGCCAGAAATACCAGGTGCCATCAGGAGGTCCAGCAGTGGGGCCAGGACATTAGAAGCCCTCCCACTGTTGACCCCCCCAAACAAAGAAGACAGAGCATCACTTGCCCCAGAGCCCCTATCTATACCTTGTGGCTAATATCCACTGATGGACCTCTGCTCCATATGCTTATCTAATTCCCTTTTGAAGCCGTCCATGCTTGTAGACGCCACCACTTCCTGTGGCAGTACTCAAAAGGGCATATAAGAGATTGGGGGGGGGGGAAGGAAGCAGTGGAAGATTTTTAGTTAAGCTTCTGTGGTTACAAAGTTGGTTTTTTAAAAAAACTTTCAAGTTAAAATGTTGATTAAAGTGGTGACTTCATTTATTCATGTATTTTGGCCCCTTAATTGGTAAATCTGGAAAGAATAGAAAAGTACAGACCTTCAGACTAATAATCTAGAGTAGCCGCTATGCATCCTCTATGGAAGGTGCTGGTGGGAGGAAGGGTATTCAGTGGATCCTGCAGCCAGGTATGGAAAAAGAGTTTTTTGTAAGAGATTTGTAAATTGGAGATAAGGAATCATTGTGGTATAAGTTTGTTTGGAAACTTCAGTTGGTGCAGAATTCTGCAGCCAGGATGTTAACTGGAGTGGGTCATAGGGACTCTATCACTCCAGTCTTGGCCCGTTTACTCTGGCTTCCAGTTGTTTCTGGGCACAATTCAAGGTGCTTTTAAAGCCCTACTTGGCTTGGGACCAGCATGACTGAAAGACCACCTGCTCCCTTGCAAAACTACCTGACTGCGGTGGTCGGTTTCCGAGGCCCTGCTTCAAGTGACCCTGCCTTCTAAGGTTAGGCAGGTGGTAACCTGGAGAGGGCCTTTTCAATTGTGGCGCTAAGTGTGAATGATGGGTTTTTGTTTTTAATGGTTTTTAAGATGTTATTTTATTGCATATGTCTTTTAATCCGTTACCTGCCTTGGTGGCTCTGATGAGGTCAGAAGTGCAGGGCGTAAATTTTGTAAATAAATGATATAACTTTCTTTACGGCACCTTAAAGTCAGAGTATTTTGCATCATAAGCATTTGTGAGCAGATGCATCTGATAAAGTGGGCTGTGTGGTTCATGAAATCTTATGTCACAATAAATGTATTCATATTTAAGGTGCTACAAAGCTCTGTGTTTCTTTGGCTGCAACAGAGTCAGAGGTTACTCCTCTAGCATTCGCAATACCAAAGGAGTTTTACTTATTTTGTACAATGCTTGAACAGTCTCTTCCAAGAACCTATTGTATGTTATATACTAATTGGCCTATAAGAAATGTAAATAATAGTAGTTTAAGATCTTTTTCTGTGAATTTAGGTCATTAAAGAGAGAGCATCCAAATCTGAATGAGGATGTTGTATTAATAAGAGCATTACGGGACTCCAATATACCAAAATTTCTTACAGATGATGCTCTTTTGTTCAGGTACTTTTTAAATTAGCATGCTCTTACTGTCATTGCAACATTTTTATTCTGCCACAAATATTTACGTATTTGAACTGTCAAAGCAATTGCCTTTTATTCTGGCAAGATTAATTTTATAGCTTCCTAACCTGAAATAGGAAGGGCCATGTTGTTTCAGGGAGATTGGCTATAAAAGTAGAATTTTGGATCCTAATGATAATTAAAATTAGAACCATTCAAAACAATCTGAATACTTGAGTTTAGTTGTCTTGGAAACACCATAGGATGGAATGAAAATGTCATGCCAGATTGTAAGTATAAATGGAATGGTAATGTTTATTGGCTTCATTGCATTTCAGTTAAAGAGAAGTTTTATCTTAATGCATTATTGACCAGTAATGCATTATTGATCCAACCTAGCACATTAGGCAACTGTGTATATCATTTATGTTCAATAATATAACAGTGAACTAGACTGGGAGAAAACAGACCTGTATTAATGTGTTTAAATATAAGATGTACGTGTTTTTTAGTGTGAAAATTGAAATGACGTTCTGAGCAAAGGTACTGGTCCATCAGAGGGGCTGCAAAACCCTTCTTTATAGATAGGGTTTAGGATTCTGATAGGGCTGAGTTAGAGGTTACTGCCGCTGTACTTTTTAGGCTGTAGTGTGATTACAGGGCAATCCTAAATGGATTTTCAAGCCCATTCACTTCAGTGGACTTAGAACAAAGCAGCTCTGTTCAGAACTGGGCTGTTAATGTCTTACTGTTTTAAGCAACCGCTTTGAGCATAGGGAGATGCAGGGTGCAAATGTTTTGAATAAATAAAACAAAGCTTTTATTTCTTTCTCGCTGTGTTAGTGGGATTATATCCGACCTTTTCCCTGGAGTCGTAATCCCAGAGCATGATTACGGGGTGCTGCAGTCAACAATTATAGACGTCATGCTTTCCAAAGGACTGCAGCCTGAATCTACCTTGGTTCATAAAGTCATTCAGCTTTATGAAACGATGTTGGTAAGGCACGGTGTCATGCTTGTTGGTCCAACTGGAGGTGGGAAAACCACAGTTTACCAGATTCTTGCCGACACCCTAGGAGCGCTGCATGCAGCGGGAGAGGAGAAACCTTTCTACCAGCCCGTTAAAACATTTATCCTCAACCCAAAATCGATCACAATGGGTGAACTGTATGGTGAGGTTAACAATTTAACACTGGAGTGGAAAGATGGCCTGATGGCACTGAGCGTTCGGGCAGCTGTAGTTGACACCTCAGAAGATCACAAGTGGATTGTCAGCGATGGACCTGTGGATGCTTTATGGATCGAAAACCTGAACACTGTTCTGGATGATAACAAGATGCTTTGTTTGGCTAACAGTGAAAGAATCAAACTCACACCTTTTATTCACATGCTGTTTGAGGTACTGTACTTTTTTGTTGTTTTGATTCAAGTACTTCACAAGACACGTAACTAGATCTGACAAGTTTCATTGCAGTAATCTCCTGCAAGTCATGAAAACAGCTGTTTGAGGATATTTTGGGCAGATAGGTAGCAAAGTGGTCCTCCACCCACCCAGTCTCATTGACAGCAGAGCTGTAAACCCTCCCTTTGTGAAGCTTATGAGTGAGTTCAGTATGGGGATTTCTTATTTTTGTCCGCTTATTGCTTCCTGTTGTTCCTCCACATATTGTAGGCCCCTGCAGGCCTTGCATTTGTTGGCTCAAGTTGTTCTTACTGAATTGAAATGGAGTTCTGTGTGCTCTTGTGACTTGGAATGGATTTAATTTACTGATCTGCCTGTTTACACAGCTAGCTGTCATAAGGCTTTGCCGCAATATGGAATTGGACAGAGCAGAGAGGACAGACTCATGGAACCTCATGGGACGGGAAAGTAAATTCCATGATTCTGATTTTTCGTCATTTTTGTGAAAAATTGACATTTTATGCCTGCAGGAAATCTGTTCCCAGGAGTCCTGCCCCCAGCTCCCTAGAGGAATCGTGCATTTGTTGGGCCTGCTGTTAACATCCCTACTAAAGGCCTTGCTAGCAGGGTCCTAGTAACTTTTGTTTCTATTGATCTTCAGGCTGATGTCCAGGGCTTGAACAGTGGCACCCATCATTGTATCCAGGTGTTGGGGATTCGGGGCAAACACAGTGGATCTCTTCCTCTCTGTGAAAAAATATATATATCCCCAGGGCTTTTGTAGAAAAAGCCCAGCAGGAACTCATTAGTATATTAGGCCACACCCAACAGCAGAAACACATCAGCATATTAGGCCACATCCCTGACAGCACAGCTCATTAGCATATTTGGCCACACCCCACATGTTACCAGAAGTGTGGTCATCCAACCACACCCACCTTTTTCTTCTTATTCTGTTTACTTTGTTGTCAAAACCCTGGGCTTTTTTTGTAGCAGGAACTTCTTTGCATGTTAGGCCACATACCCCTAATGTAGCCAATCCTAATGAGTGTCTGCTGTTAGGTGTGGCCTATTATGCTAATGAGTTCCTGTTGGGCGTGGCCAACTCAGGAGCCAGCCGGAACTCCGTTTCTGTGTGTTCCTGCCCCAAAATAGCCCTGTATATCCCACCCAAAGTCTCCAGGTCTCAGAGCCAGGATAATATCTGGGTGTAGCAGACACCCTTGTCTCCTAACTTCCTATCATATTGTTTTGTGCAGGGATTGGCTTTGGTTCTCTTGGTGATTCGATATGCATAATCAGCCAGGTTGCTTTATATGCATGTCAACTAGCCCGGTCATCCCAGGATAAGATTTTAAATAAACCTCTGGCATGAGGTTCCTAGAAATACTTTCCTCTTGTCACATGCGTCACCTTCATTGGTGCTGTGTATGACTCTTCCCATGGCACCTATGCATATAAATCTACTCAGGGTAATAAGACTTCATGCTTTATTGTGCCTCTACAGTATCCATTCTATTCGCTAAAGGCAACTCAGCATGGTTTAATAGGTACGGGGAAATAATTTCCACAGAATTGTGAATCTATTTAATAGCCGCTAGGATAATGAAATAGGACAAGCCTGGCTATATAAGTAAAGACGTTCTAGGGGTAAAAGGCAAATTGATTCATACTTGAATATCTTATTAAAAGATGGTCATAGAAAAATGCTTTTTTATACCTTGTTTATCCTGAATTCTTGGTTCACTGCAACACTCTCTGCTGTTCCGCTTGTAATTCTGCTTTGTATATGAACTTGAAACGGAAAAGACTATTTTATGAGTAAAACACTATTTATTTGAAACAGCTGAGAAATTGTATCCATTACCTCCCTGAAGCTCAGCATAGCTGAGAATGAGTTACTTTTCTCTTTTGTGTAATTTGCCAGGCATGCTTGTTTCCAACAAATGTTAGATCAGAAGTATCACATTTTCTGTTTTGTATTCTTTGCTTGTGTTTCATGTATGCGAAAAGTTATACAGTGCATTATCCGCTTTGCATTATTCATGCCTTTTAGGTGGAAGACTTAAGAGTTGCCTCACCTGCCACTGTGAGCCGATGTGGAATGGTATATATTGACCCAGAGGAATTGAAGTGGATACCCTATGTAAAGACATGGATGGCAGGCCTTGAAGGAAAAGTAGGCTTTACAAAAACACTTTTTGGTCAAAAAAGCAAAGTGCTTGATAAAACAGTTGTAAATATAGGCCCCGGTCACATGGGAGGTTTAGGGCGGGAAGAGGGACGGATTGGGGGCGCAGCAAATGGGCGCAATCCCACCGCAACATCTGGGAAGCGTTGCGCACCCGTCCCCGATCTGGCCCTTCAGGCCGAAAATCCATAGTTAAAAGAAACCACCTACAGAGGTGGACTTACCAGAAAGGCCGCATCAAGCGTGGCCGTGGGATCGCCGGCGCGTCTTTCTGCCGGCGCATCCGAGGCTCCTGGCCGAACTGCGCATGCACACACATGCACAGCCAGCTGTCTCGGTTTCCGGTCGGTGGCTTCCTCCCCGGCATCTGATCGTGCCGGGGAGCAACAGCGCGGCGGCTCAGGGGATCTATGTGATCCCGCCGCCGCGTGTTTCTTTTGGTGCGGCTCTGAATAGCCGCACTTTGCCCGTGTTTTTTTCTGCCGTGTGGCAGGGACCATAGTCTCAAACTTTAGCTCTGCTACGCACATCCCCATCTTACATAGTCCTGAGTTCAGTGTCATTTCCTCCCAAGTCTGTTTGCATAGGATTAGAGTTCTGTTTAATTACCGTAATAGCAAGTACTCAGTTAATGTTTAAATGTCGGCAGTTGTGAATGAGCATTAGAATGCAATATAACAATATTAAAGAGTCATGAAACTGTATATAGTTATATAAAAGGTTGCCATAAAACGGTGGTGATACAGGGACCCATGTCCAGTACTACCCTATGTGAGCAGAGTTCACAGCCCCAAGTGTAGACCACCTTAACAGTGCTTGGATCTGCTGACACTTCTGACCACCATTTATGTTCTTCAACATGTAGACAAAATAGATGCTAATGGCATAATTCCGTGTAGTGTTAACACATTGGGTATCGGTGCCTGTTGCGTTCCGTCATAGCCAAGAACTGAAATCCTGGCAAGGACTATGCAGATAATTGGTCATGCTGGTGGAAATGAGCACTGCCCTTTACCCCTTCTGACATGCCAGAAGATTTTCCTAGCTGGGTATAGCAAAGAACACAAGACAGTGTAGCAATTAGAGTATACAATGTCAGAGGATTCCCCAGAGCACTGGCAGGCCATTGTACATTTTATGTTATATCAGCCCTGTAGCCAGGAAATTTTCCGGTTGGGGGCTCTGGGATGGGGGGGCATTGTGGACCCCCTCAACATGATAATGCCACATTCTCTAATGGCCTACCCTAGTGCCTCACTGCATCTGTGCCAGCCAGCCAGTGAGTTGGCTCTCCAAGAGCTCTTCAAGAGCTGACTTGCTGGCTGGCTGGTGCTACGTCTTTCCAGGGACTTGCTGGCTGGCTAGTTGGCACTGGGGCTCCCCCTTAATTGATAGGGAGTGCAGCCCTAAAGCCCCCCACTGGCTACAGCCCTGCATAATAGACAGGTATGTCAAATGTGGTTATGTGTGTTCTTAATGAGCTGTGTATTATTTTCAGTGGAATGAGCTCCCGGAGGAGATCAGGGCCCTGTGGTGCCTTTTACAGTTCCACAGGGCCTGCAAGACGGAGCTCTTCCACCAGGCCTTTAACTAGGAGCTGCCACCACCACCACCACCACCACCATTTCCATTGTGGTCAATATTAACAACTTTGAACATCAACTTCAACAACTTATTGATAACTGAAACCTGGTGCCTAGTCTATTACCGATAGCCTATGGTCGTTGGCCGAAACTGAGAATGATCATTTAGTGTATGAGGCCATCTCAATACCATAAGTTAGTTACTAGCACTTTATAGGATGTAAGTTAGTTTTGATGAATTGTTTTAGATATTTATGTATTTACTGTATTGCATTTTTATGTTGTTAGCTGCCCCGAGCCTGCCTTGGCGGGGGGGACAGGGTACAAATCTGAGTAAATAAATAAATAAATAAGCCATGAACACCATGATTCTGTGCAAAAATTTGCTTTCATTTTAGCTCAATGAGGAAACCAGAACATATTTGTTTGAACTGTTTTGTCGTTACGTTGAAGATGGTCTAAAATACGTCAACAAGAAATGCTCTCAAGCTATACCACAAGTGGACATCAGTAAAGTCACTACACTGTGTTGTTTACTGGAATCACTGCTCCTTGGAAAAGGAGGGCCCAGCATGAAATTGGTACAGTTCTTTATTCTAGGGGGATTAACATCCATTGCTGTTTCTTTTCTTTTTTTTAAAGGTTCAGTGTAATGCACCAGGAGTGATATTTGATCATTTAAAAAAATAATAATCTTTAGTATAGGTATTGCAACAAGATACAAACAGGGGTCACAGTGTACAGAAACATGCCAAAAAACAGGAAATCACTGTGATCAATGACACATTTAATAAAATTTTACATTGAAACAAAGTCCAACTATTTATATACTCAATAATGACACATTTAATAAAGTTTTACATTGAAACAAAGTCCAACTATTTATATACTCAATATTACATCAGATGAGGTGCTTTATTCTACTTATTTACTTAGATTTCAACAGGAAATACCTCTTTGGTTATAGTTTTTTTTCTTTCCCACTCAAATGGGAACGGTATCTTTAGGGATGGTACCACTCACAAATGTCAGCTGAATGGGTTATAAATCCCCTCTTTCCTGGTGGCCAAAGAAAGGCTCAGCTTGGTCTGTGAGCTTTTCATCCTTTCTTGGGATCTTCCAAGGGGGGTGGGTGGGGGTGTCTGTTTTTCAACCGAAATGGAGCATGTAGGCAAGGGGAGCTGAATCCTGCCTCTTTAACCCTTTACCTCACTGTGCGCACTGGTTCTTTAAGAATTTTTCTTCCGGTCAGCTCTAATACTGGAAGTTAGCCAGGCTGAGAGAAAATTGCTTCAAGCTGTAGATTGGGGTGTGGGAGGGTTAGGGTTTAGTTCTCTGGTTTAGTTAAAAAGCAGATCCTTCCCATACCCAGTTTCATTTACATACAAACAAGGGGTTGCTGCTGCTGCTGCTGCTTCTTCTTCTTCTTCTTCTTCCTCCTCCTCCTCCTCCTGAATCGCCCCATCCCTGAGTGTGCAGGGTTCCAGGCGATTTACAATAGATCAAAACATACAAAAATATAGTTTAAAATCAACTAATCAATTAATCCTGAATTTCACAATCTTCAGATGGCGACCTGTGATGTAATCTAAAACCTACTCTGGACTGTTCTTCCATCTCATGGGCAGGCTAAGGAGGAGGCCGAAGCGGGCAAGGTGGTAGAAAAGAGGAGGGTGCCACAGCCATGACGGAAACCCTTGCTGTCCTCAACCAAACGCCTGGTGGAACATCTCTGCCTTACAGGCCCTGCAGAGTTGCGTTGAGTCCTACAGGGCCCTGATGGAAGTTGGCAGAGAGTTCCACCAGGTTGGAGCCAGGGCCAAGAAAGCCCTGGCTCTGGTCGAGGACAGACGGATGTCTTTGGGGCCAGGGATCACCAGCAGATCACTCTCAGCAGAGCGTAATGCTCTCCCAGGGACCACACCAGAGTTCATAGCAGCTGGACATGCATGTGTCCAGGAATCGGTGTGGCAACTTTTACATAAAATTAAAGGCATCAAAAGCTCACTGATGTCTCACGTAAAGAAAGAGATGTCAGATCTTCATTCATCACAGATCTCTCAAGTCTCCCCTGGTTTGGCCCTGTCTTTCATGGTGACGGAGGGATGGTTGCCCCCCAGTTGTTTTAATAGCAGCCTGCTTCCAATAATGTACAAGGAGCCCATTAGAGTCTCTCGCTTCCAGGCATACTGCCCATTGCTGGGGCAGGGGATGCAGAGAATGGCATAACAAACAGGGAACCTTGGCTTGTATGATCAAGGAAGCATTGCATGAGGTAGTGCAGTGTTTTGGCAGAAAGTGGAAACACTGTACAAAAAAATGTATATGGGAACAGCCCTTTTCAGCAGAAACATCTCCCTTTCTGGTGTGAAGTTAACCCGTCACTTCGATTGTGAGCTGTCATCTTTGCTGCTCCTCCACTTCTCTTCCTTTGCCTCAGCAGCTGTGAAAAGCAACCAGTGAGGCACCAGAAGAATAGTAAAGTGTGAAAAAATAGAGATTACTGGATGCTATTTAATTAATTCAGATTAACTATGGCTGCGGTCACATGGGCAGGAAAATGCGGGGGGGAAACGTGGCTGTTTGCCCCGGGGCAAAATAATGCGTGGTTGCGCGAGCAGACATCCCGTGGAGGTCCCGTGGTAGGGGGGAGGTGCCGATCACACCACAATCCTGCGGCGCGGCAAAGAAGCGGCACGTCGTGGCAAACGGGTGGGGGGGTTTCTGTACACCGATGTGTGCGCATGCCTCGTTGGGTGCTTGTGCGTATCCCGAGGACACTTGAAAAAAAACACACCTTTTTGCAAGGGGACATGGGCGGGCGCCGGATGCCATGGGATTCCACCGGAAACGCGATCACGCGCCCACCCTTGCCCCGCGGTTTCTGGAAACTAGTACCTCTGAGGTACTAGTTTTTTTACCGCGCATCTTCGGAGTGAAGCCTCGGGTGAGCCACGGGAGCTCTACGCTTCCCAGATGTGGCGATGAGATCACGCCCGGAAAATCTGCCTATCTTCCGTCTCTCTAGTGTGCCTAATGCTCCATGTGACCGCAGCCTGTATTGAATTTCTCAAAGAATACAGTGGATTCCATTTGGATGTTGCTTAACCTAACAGCATGGAAAGGACATAGCATTTCTCTGTGTTGCGCTTCTCCATCTACCTGACTTTTTCATGAGCCACTCTAACACCCCAGCAATCCCTTCTTCATTTAAGGTACAGGCCCCCATGGGTCTTTTCAGAGTTAAATAGAAAAGAGAGAGGAATTCTTCTAACACATTCTTTTCATTTGTATTTTGGCATGTATGACAGCTTTATATCTAATTCTGCCGTGATCCCAGAATGCACGTCAAAGCATCTATACAACAGTGCTGCATACAGACACATATCTAAAAAATCCCCAAACTTAATAAAATGGTGTGGGGGAGGGTTAGTCCTAAGGTTGCCAAGTCTAGGTTGGGAAATTCCTGAAGATTTTGGGGGTAGAGACTGGGAAGGGGAGGGACCTCATCAGGGTATAATGCCATCCAGCCCCCCTTCCAAAGCAGCCATTTTCTCTCTTGAACCGATCTCCTTGGTCTGGAGATCAGTTGTAATTCTGGGCGCTCTCCAGCCACCACCTGGAGGGTCTAGCAACAAATAAATATACACTGCAAAAACCTTATAACAAACTAATGTGTTCTATTTATAATCATCATTTAGTAAAGTGCATAGTGTATCATTATTTCATCCTAGTCAGGTATAAATATTCATTACATTCAATAAGCAATAACATTCAGTACATACAGATGGGATAACTACCAGACCATTTTGCATCAGTGTTTTAAAAGTCAAGCCCCAACGGGAGTTTCTAGAATTAAAAGCCTGCTTCTCCTTGCATGAAGTCTTCCAAAAAGGGGGACAGCTTTCTTAATAGTTGTATGGATGCTTTTTTTTTGGCGGTCCTACAAAAGACACATTAAGCAGCTAACAAGCATGGACGGAGTACTCCTGTCATTCTCAAAGCTGCATAGTATTGACCTAGTTCTCTGGTCATTAAATTCTTTCAACAAAGAATTTTTGGAAGACTTCATGCAAGGAGAAGCGGGCTTTTAATTCTAGAAACTCCCGTTGGGGCTTGACTTTTAAAACACTGATGCAAAATGGTCTGGTAGTTATCAATCTGTAGGTACTGAATGTTATTGCTTATTGAATGTAATGAATATTTATACCTGACTAGGATGAAATGATGATACACTATGCACTTTACTAAATGATGATTATAAATTGAACACGTTAGTTTGTTATAAGGTTTTTGCAGTGTATATTTATTTGTTGCTAGATTCTCCTAACACATCAGCTCGGGTTGCTTCAACCACCTGGAGGGTGGCAATGAAGGCTACTCCCCCAGTGGACTAAGATTAGGTCACCCAGTGGACTAAGATTAGGTCACAGTAGGCATTGTTGTGCTGCTTGGCAACTAAGTGTTAGGAGGCTTGAGCTAGGCAAACCTGGCAAGACTATATAGCTTTGGGGCAAAGCAGTCGCAACAGTATGGGGAGGGAGTGGCAAAGAAAGAGGGAGAGAAAACAGTGGGTGGAGAGAGAAAAGGGGAGGGCAGGAGAGAAAGTAGCCGTCAAGGAAGGGAAAGACCACAGGGAATCGGCTGGGAAGGAACAGAAAATGGCAACGACGGTGGGAAGAAAGAGAAGGGTAGGAGCTAGCATAGGAGGATGGGATTTCCATCCTCCCTGAATCTCATGATTCCTGCTTATACAATTTTTTAAGACATTTCGTTTCATGATTACCCCTTTCTTTGTACAACAGGAACAGTCAAGACTGAACTGTCTCGTGTGCCAGACTTTCGTGTTCTGTTACCTGTGGTCAATCGGTGGAAATTTGACGGAGATCTATTGGGATGCTTTTGATACATTTATAAGGCAGCAGTTTGACGACAATCCAGATGCTAAGGTATGCAAAAAAAAGGCTGCTTCGCTAGCACGTTTTCACTGATGGCGTTTGTGGGAACAGTTGGGTAGGATCATCAGAATGTGGAAATGGACAGCAGGAAGGCCGCTCTGGCACCCCACCCTTGGAAGGTGTGGGGGAAGAGGGAGGATTTGCTGCCGTGGGGAAAGGCGAGCCCAACCCCGCTTAGGTGAGCACCCTGCAGCATCATTTGTAGGGTGAAAGGGGTACTCCTCAGACCAGGCCAGGGGCCTCAGTGCCTTCACGTGCCACGAACCCTTTGAGTGGTACCATGGGCCTTGAAGTACAGGTCCCAATGGCTAAGGGGATGGAAAGTGGCACACCTCCCTCAAGCACTGTGAACGTTTGGCAAGGAGGAGCCTAAGCTATACAAATGTGATGATTCAAGGCTGGGAGGCAGGGCGGCCACACCTGTAAATCAGGGATGCCCTGAGGAGGCCTGACTCTTCTGTGTCCTGTCAATTGCCCTCACGGCCGCTGAGGTTTGGAGGGGAGTTTGGCCCATGTATGCTGCAGATCCCCCTTTCACCTGGTGTACAATAAATAAATTTGGCCCTATATTATCCCATCTGAAGGTGTCAGCTCTCCTTAGAGCCAGTGTGGTGTAGTGGTTAAGAGCGGCAGGACTCTAATCTGGAGAACTGGGTTTGATTCCCCACTCCTCCACATGCAGCCAGCTGGGTGACCTTGGGCCAGTCACAGCCCCCACAGAACTCTCTCAGCCCCACCTACCTTACAGGGTGTCTGTTACGGGGAAAGGTAGAGAAGGTGACCGTAAGCCGCTCCGAGAATCCTTCGGGTAGTGAAGGGCGGGGTATCAAACCAATTCTTCTTCTTCTTATTCCACATCTGCATGCAAAAGGATTCCTGCCCCTCATTTCAAGCTATGCAGATGCATCTTCAAGTATTCCTGAGTGCCGATATATTTAATTGCTATTGTGAGGTGTTTGGGGCTTACCTTAAACTCGTACTTGAAAATTGCAAACCTCATCCTCTCATCTTGGGTATGAATGAGTGTGTCTGCTGACCTAGTCCTGAAGGGGGAAGGTGCTGGCCTCTTCATATTTATTCGAGTCTCAAGATTGAGCCTTATCATTGAAAACAGGTTCCAGAGCTGAGCTCTGTTGCTACAGCAAACGTGTGAATCCCTCATGGCTTTTGTTGTGCATATGTAGTATTGCCTCTGGTGTGTGGAGTGTTCTTTCCTGTGCTGAATTCGGAGAGAATCTCATTTGTAGAGATTCTGGCTTTCATTCTCATGGGAAAACATCTGTGAAAGTATTGATGCTTTGCGAATGATTTAACAACCCGAACAGGGCGTGCATTTGTAAGGTAGACTGATTCAGATTCCTTATCCAGACAGACTTATATGGGCACCCAAAGTGGCTTACGACAGTCTTCGCTCCTCCATTTTATCTCACAGCAGCCCTTTTAGGATAGGCTAGATTGAAAGTGTGGGGCTGACCCAGGGCCACCCAGCAAGCTTTCATGACAGAGGATTCAGACCTAGCTCTCCCAGACACTAGTCCAACACTATGTCCAACATATGGAGCAGAGGTCCATCAGTGGCTATTAGCCACCAGGTATAGTTAGGAACTAGAGGGGCTGCAGTGGCTCAAGTGGTTGAGACGCTGAACTGCAGGCTGGAAGGTTGGTAGTTCAGCAGTTCGAGACTCGAGTGCCGCATGACGGAGTGAGCTCCCATCTCTGGTCCCAGCTCCTGCCAACCTAGCAGTTTGAAAGCAAGAAATTGCAAGTAGATAAATAGGTACCGCTTCAATGGGAAGGTAACAGCATTTCGTGCACCTTGATGTCTAGTCATGCCGGCCACATGACCACGGAAATGTCTTTGGACAACGCTGGCTCTTCGGCTTGGGAACGGAGATGAGCACCGCATCCCTAGAGTCGGATTCGATTGGGTTTCAAGCAAGGGAAACCTTTACCTTTACCTTATAGATAGGATCTCTCAGTCTGGGGCAGGTGATTCTCTGTATTCTTGGTGCTTGGGGGGAGGGCAGCAGTAGAAGGGCTTCTAGTGTCTTGGCCCCATTGGTGGCCCTCCTGATGGCACCTGGTATTTTTGGCCACTGTGTGACAGAGTGTTGGACTGAATGGGCCTTTGGCCTGATCCAGCATTGGCTTCTCTCATGTTATTATGTTCACTGTAACCACTTCACCATGCTGACCTTTTATTTCGTGGTCATTAAGAAAGATAAGCATAGAATTACAGATTTGGCTTTATGTGAAGTAAACGTCTAACTCTGCTGAAGATGACTTTATGTTTCTAGCTTCCAAGTTCTGGTGATCTGTGGAGTGTTTACATTGATTATGACACAAGGCGACTGGATCCTTGGGAAAGAATTATACCTACGTTTAAATACAACCATAAAGTACCATTTTTTGAAATGCTCGTCCCAACCACTGATACTGTGCGCTATGGCTTTCTAATGGAAAAATTGCTAGCTATCAGACATTCTGTATTGTTTACAGGAATAACGGGAGTTGGCAAGGTAAGAATTATACAACAAAACGGATATTTTGGCTAAACCCTAAGACACCAAATTCCCAAAAGATTATTAGAAAGCAAGCTTGAAATGTTGGGATTTACTAGTGAGTTGGGAAAATATGGGCGGATAGGTCTTTACTAATCTGGTGGAATGGCTTAAAAAAAAGCACACAAGAGGCCCAGATTAATACGATGCATTATGAACTACATGCTATTCAACATATTTGATTAATGTTCTGGAGAAGTAGCCTGTAAAAATGTGAAAATTCAGTGAGTTTTTAATTGTATCTGGAGCGTCATCAAGCTAGCTGAATAAGTAGTGGCAAAATGTAGTCTGCATAAAAATCTGATTAATCTTACATCAGGGGAACCATTTAAACTTTCAAGTTTAAAAAACAAAACAAAACAAAACTCGGTGAAGAGCTCTGCCTCACTTTGAGGTTGCAGGGTAACTTCAGAATGTACCAAAGGGGGCTCTTGTGTCTCTAACATGCTCTTCCTTTTGCTTTCTCTCTCTCACTCAAAGTCCGTAGTTGCAAGGGCTCTACTAAACCGAATACAAGATGAAGCAGGCTACGTTCCTGTTTACCTAAATTTCTCTGCTCAGACTTCATCTTCAAGGACCCAAGAGATTATTGAATCCAAATTGGAAAAGAAAAGAAAAAATATTTTAGGTAAAGAGGGCTAACGATATATTTTACCTGAATTGTGCGTAGGATGAGTGTGTTTTGTGTTTTAATTATTTCTGCTGATTCAGACAGCACTGTGCAGCAACTGATGCCTTAGTACAGCCAATAGGTAGCAAATTCTCCCCCAAACCTCATTGGGTAGATTAGAGTTTAGAGGTCATTAGATCATTGCAACAAGGGGGAAAAAAGAAGATTCACTTAGTTCTGAAGGTCAAAGAAGACGGGGACGGCGAAGGATGAGATGGTTAGACAGTGTCATCGATGCAGCGAACATGAAATTGAGCCAACTTCAGAGGACGGCGGAAAACAGGAGGGCCTGGTGTGATCTGGTCCATGGGGTCGCGAAGAGTCAGACTCGACTGTGCGACCGAACAACAACAAATAGCCATTTCAGTCAAATCAAATTCTATTTTGAGCTATAATCTGATGCAGTTGATACAGTTGTGCACTGGAGGGCAGCACTGACATACAAGAAATGTAATACCTCTTTTATCATATTACAGTGAGAAGTCATTATTTCCCAGAGTTAGTATCTGCTATGGACAAGATCCTATCAGTGTGTGGGAGTTTTTCATCATTGCAACACATCCATCTCCCATCGTCAGGCAACCCTTGTTCTAGACAAGCTGCCTGCAATGCGACTGGCCCCCGATAAATTGTTAAATCAAATTATTATTCATAGAAAATTTGTTTCACTTAGAGGTGAATCCAGTGAAGTGCATTCTCCGAGAACGCAATCACACCATAATTACTAGAGCTGCTGATGATGAAAATTGCCTAAAAGAGAATTCTGGTCAACATTCAGTCCCCCTCAATGGAAAGCAGTTTTGCAAAACTTCAGGCAGACATACTAAAATTAACATTGCTTTTATCATATCCACTGCAAATTCATCTAAGAAGCACTCTGTTGTTTGTTAGTATCAGGGCAATGAATAATCTGTATTTTGTGTATCTGAGTAATTTTTTTGACATTCCTTTTGCAGCAGTGTTGTTGAATCTTACAAGAATGTTGGAATGATAAGAACTCAAACTTGCTAACATGAATTCCTTAATTTGCTTTTGTTTTGTACGGTCCTGTGAGATAACTTTCTGTATGATGGCAGTTTTTATACCAGGCAGTACTATGATGCAGTGTGGCTGAATTAAATACACACTTGTGAGAATTAGCCTTAAGGTTACATATCTTAGGATGCAGTGTGACTGTTTTTGCTAGCATAGAAGTATCTGTGGCCCGTAATTGAATCAAGCAAGTGTTGGTGCCAGAAGTAGAATGCCAATCCAATCGGCATTCAGGTTTTCTGCAAAAATGTGTTTATCTGGGTTAGAAAATGGATTTACCCTCCGAGCGTGAAGCAAATTTGTCCACTGGGTACATTCAAGAGAAAAGGGGGAGCAGTATTTCTCATCCTGTCATACTGAATTAAATTGCTTACTAGCCTTCATAAATTTACTTGCTTTAGTACTACACCATAGCAGTTTCGCCCTTAGACACAAGCAACCTTCGCTTCCTCCTTCTGCCAGGTGAGTTAGAGTTAGTCAGGTGATCAAGAGGATCCAGTTACCTCCATGGTCCTCTATAACTTTCAGGGATTGCTGCTGTTCTGCAGTCTGAGCACTATGTACTGGGAGAGGCTGGGGCACCGTTGTGCTGTGTCTTGTTATACTTGCATTGCTCACCTGTCCACGGTTCTTCTCGCCCTGCCCTACCATACCATATCTTGCCCCTTCGCCTGCAGACTGCCACCTTGAGTTTAGCCTTACACCTTTGCATGGTCTTCGGCAACAGCTTTCATCACTAATCATGGGTAGCTGAAGCCCTCTTGTTGGTCATTTTATTCAATATTTGGAATTAAAAAAAAACCCACAGTGAGCAAAGATGGGATAAATACAGCCAATGTACACTACAATTTCTTAGATAAAAGACATCTGAAGCCCTTTATCACTGCTTGAACCTGGTCTTATTAAGGCCTATTTCCAGAACATCAGACAACTTCTGTTTTAGAACCAATCAGGTTTCCCTTCCCCCCCCCCCCCCCCGACTGTTCTGAAGAAGCCACTTAAATCTTTTACATTTTAGATTAGGATCATTGTCATGGTACATGCCATCCCACAGTGTCCCTTTGATCTCTGTTCTGTTCAGCAGAGCTGATAGTGTAGCACATGCCACTGAGTGGGCCATGTCTGAGCAGGTATAATCAGATGGATCTGCTGTCTGCCAGATGTAATGTCAGAGAGTCCTCGAAGCTACAGAGAGTGCATACAGATGCATTGTGAAGACCTGCCAAGGACCGAAGCCCTAGAAGACGGCAAAACAAACCACAAAAGCAGTTAGTGGAAATGTAAGGTCACTAGAAGGGCACAGTGGTTCAGTAGGGGTTCTGGAACAAAGTATAAAATAGTTACAGAAAGCTGAAGTAATTAACGTTTTAATGCATTCTAATTATTATTTTGATATCCCAATAGGTATATGGGGAAATTAAAAGGCTTGAAATAATCCCAGTTTTAATTTTGTTTGTCAACTGCTCTCTTCTCTTTAGAAATACACACATTACTAGGCTCATTTGGAGGTAGACTTTCTCAGTACTTTTCTTACTTTGGGGGACTTTGCCAGCAGTGGTTTGTCTATTTTATGTCTTAGGAGCACCAGGGAAAAAAAGAGTTGTCATTTTTGTGGACGATCTAAACATGCCTAAATTGGATCGTTATGGTTCTCAGCCTCCGATCGAGCTACTGAGACAGTTCCAGGACTTTGGAGGGTTCTACGACAGAGAGAAACTGTTTTGGAAGGAAATACAAGTAAGGCTGTCTTTAGTTGCCAAACTATGCTTTGAATGTTATAAGTTGGGTGCCTGAGTTCAGGGGTGAGGTGGCTACAGAACTTGACCACAAAAATAGGCGGAATGTTGACCCTGGTTTCCAGCTAGTGGTTGGGCAGGAAGATGATACAGAGTAGCACACATTCAAAGTACCCTCTTGAGTGCAGTTTACACAAAAAAGTGCTTCCAGAATCTTTAAATGCAAAGCAACAATAGAGAGGCTGTAGCAGATTCTGTGTGTGGGTGGGTGGGGGGCTTACCACATGAGCTGAATGACTGTTGCATTATTGTCAAAAATTGCCAAACAAGGCAATGGATTTGCCATTGCAAATAAAAGGCTTCTGGAGTGGAGTAGCATCTGTAGAATGGTCATCATGCTGGGCCCCAGGAAAGTTGCATACAAGGCAAACAATGGGGTGAGGAGAAAGTAGATTTGCATCTCTTGTTCCTAACTTGTGGAGATGTGAATCCTCTGTGGGTGTGCCTCTGCGGATTTACTTTCTTCTGTATCCTGCGTTTCCTTTGTGAAGCACAGCAGGTCTTTTGTGGCGTTTTCTTCTCTGAAATACAATGGGTTTGGGGTAGGTATAAAACACTAGCAGAGGAGAATTATCAGAGAGAGCCGTTCTGTATTGGACAGGTTAAAAAAGAAAGATGTGGTCATGTAACTCGTCAAATATTGTCCAATATTTTTAAAGCATTACTTTTACACGCACAACAGAACGGATAACCTTAATCAGCAGTGGTTTTATACATGTAAAGTAAAGGCAAAGGTTCCCTTGCTTGAAAGCCAGTCGAATCCGACTCTAGGGTTGTGGTGCTCATCTCCGTTTCAAAGCCGAAGAGCCAGCACTGTCCAAAGACGTTTCCGTGGTCATGTGGCCGGCATGACTAAACACCAAGGCGCACAGAATGCTGTTACCTTCCCACCGAAGTGGTACCTATTTATCTACTTGCAATTTCTTGCTTTCGAACTGCTAGGTTGGCAGGAACTGGAACTAGAGACGGGAGCTCACTCTGTCATGCGGCACCCGGGTCTCAAACTCCTGAACTACCGACCTTCCACAGCCTGCAGTTCAGGGTCTTAACCGCTTGAGCCACCGCAGCTCCACTGACATTAATACAAAAAGTGACCTTTTCTGCTGGTAACCGTTCCTATTCCTCTGTGGAGATGCCTGTGCTTGCAGCAGTCGGCGGTAGGAGAAGCTTTGTTACACTGCTAGGTTGCCTCTGCCTGCTTCAGGGCTAGGGGGCAAGGGTTTTCTCACTTTTGCATCTGCTCACAAATGATACCATAATGAAATAAGGAAGATAAGCTACCCTCCTGCCCAGTGGCATTCTTGGCTTCATTTGACAACATTCGAGTATGTGGAGATTGAGGCACGGTTAATTAATGTTTAGCAGGTCAGTTGACTGGAACACATGCTCCAGTACCAGCAAGAAGGGAGACGAGCTGTTAATTGGTTCCCTTTTTGCAAGAGCAAACGTAGGGTAATGACTGCTTGCTTCAGTCTTCCGCTATTTCAGAGCAGAACTTTCCATGCTCTTATCTTCTGGGAGCCTTAGCCACGGTTACGTCAGTGTAAAAGACACTTGTCACTTAACTTCTTTATACGCTGAAAACATTGAGAAGAAATGGCATCAAGTGGTTGGACGCAAGGGAGTCACTTGTGATTTCCTTATTTGGGATCCTGCACTGCAGCCCTTGTGCCGTGGCGTTAACTAGTTGGGTCTGGGCCGCTAAACATCAGAAGTATGTCATGATCTTGAGTGACAGCCCACTAGATGATAGCAGCATTCGATTCGGACCCAGCTTCTTTCATAGTCAGCTGCTCCCTGAAGTCAGAACTTATCGTGTTGTCTGTGCTGCTTACAAGCCTTCTGGGAGATTCCTGTACACCTGAAGGCTGAAGGTGTGTAGCAAAAGGGACAAAGTCCAAGACTACACAGATTATGTTAGTCTTAAATGAGATGTAATCATATTTGTAATGAACCAGGAGTTCTTAGGCTGCGGTCACACAGAACATTAGCCACGCAAGAGACGGAAGACAGGCGGATTTTCCGGGCGCGATCTCACCGGCACATCTGGGAAGCGTAGCGCTTCCGTGGCACAATCGAGGCTTCCTGGCGAAAACGCGCTGCAAAAAACTAGTACCTCGGAGGTACTAGGTTCCGGAAACTGCGGGGCAAGGGCGGGCGTCTGATGGCATTTCCGGTGGCATCCGGCGCCCACCCATGTCCCCTTGCGAAAAAGGGTTTTTTTCCCCCAAGTCTCCGTGGATGCGCACACGCACCCAACGGAGCATGCACATTCGTCGCTTACACACACAAAAAAAAACTAGTTTGCCACACTGCGCGCTTCTTCGTTGCGCGCAGGCTAGTCCTGTGATCGGCACCTCTCCCTACCCATGGAACCTCCACAGGACCTCCACGGGAGGGCTGATCGCTTAACCGCACATTAGTTTGCCCTGGGGCAAACAGCCACGCTTCCCCCCCGCATTTTCCTGCCCGTGTGACCGGAGCCTTAATTGTTCTTCGGTGCCAAATTTAAAACAAGAATAGGAAATCAGTCCTGTTAGCAGAGCTGCAGCTTGTTACAAAGCTAGATGGTTACACCTAAAGAACGGGGCTTTGTAGGATTAAAGACATTACTAAATATTATGCTCTGACCACAAATTGTGATCTTTCTCACTGCTTCCCCCCCAGGATGTGACTATCGCAGCAGCCTGTGCACCTCCAGGCGGTGGACGTAATCCAGTCACAGCACGTTTCATGAGACACTTCGCCATGCTGTGTCTCCCAACGCCCTCTGAGCATAGCCTTAAACAGATTTTTCAGGTCAGTAGCAACATTTCTGTAGTTAACAAGAACAACAACAAAAATTAGATTATTCTGTGCACTGTGTTGTAGCGCGCTACTTTGTTTTGTGGTATGTAGACTAATGCTTGGTAGCATGTATTACTTTCTGAAGGGCTGCGACTTTTCCATGCATGTTCTTCCCCCCCCCCAATTTTATTGCAAATTGGCAGTAGATGTGCAGAGAGCCCGATCCCAATTAATTCCAGAGCACTTTGGATCAAGAATGCAGAGGCTAGATGAGTAATTCTTTTGAAACTGAATGATTAGCTAGGAACCTTCCAAAACTTAATCTAATTAATTTCCTTCATAGTATGTTTCCTCGTTTTATAGTCCTAGTGTGTTTCCTCGTTTAATAGTCTCTCTTTACACGCAAGGTTGCTGAGAGCCACTTTGAGTCCCCAGAAAGATTCCCCCTGGGCCACCCTCACACCACCCAGAGCTAACCCTATCACCAGATGTGAGAGCATCTGGTGAGACCTGTGCAACATTTCACGGATGCAAATAAAGACGTTTCTTGTAGGCAGGTGTCTGGATCCTGATATGACAGAGGTTATAAAATTAGGCATAGGATGGAGAAAATAGATGATGAGAATTCTTTCCCCCTCTCCCGTAATGCTAGAACTCATCAAGCGCCTCCATGGACTTGATGGATAGTCAGCTGAGGAAAGACAGAAGGAAGCACTTCTTCTCTTAAAGAGTATAATTAACTTGTAGAATTCACTGCCACAGGATGCAGTGGTGGCCCATAGTTTAATTGGCTCTAAAGAGGGAAATAGTCCCATTGATGAACAGTGCACTCTTAAGCAGAGTCACTGCAGGCTAAGCCGATTGGAATCAAGGATAGGTCCGTCAGTGGTAATCAGTTGTGGTGTCTAAATGGAACGTCCATGTTCAGCGAATCTGAATAGCAGCAGGGGGCAGCAAAAGGGGAGGCTCTGGCATCCGTGCTCAGCTTGTTGGTCTTCTGGGAGCCTCTTGTTGGCCACTGCATGAAACAGAATGCTGGATTAAATGGACCATTGGCTAAGGTGAGCCCAGCCACATATTCAAATGAGATCCATATATATATGTATGTGTGTTTGTGTGTGTGTGTATTAGGGATGGGCACGAACCAGGAAAATAATGGTTTGTGTTGGTTCATGGTTGGTTCGATTGCACAAACCACGAATTTATAGGAACTTTTCTGTTTCCCGAACCAGTTTGTGGCTCGTTTGGCTTGGGAGTGTAGTAGAACAGCCCCCCCCCCAGCAAGTCTTCAACTGAGTCTCCTCTACCTACTCTCCAAATTTGGTGAGAATTGGATTTAGGGAGGCTGAGTTACAGCCCCCCAAAGCAGGTGCCCCCAGGAAAGGGCTCCCCTAGGAGCATGTCAAGCTGCCCCCATGCAAGCTAGAGGCGTCCAGCTCACAGAGGACTTCCCTGGGATGCCCCTCCACCTGCCCTCAAGGTTGTGTACAAATTGGCTTTCAAAGGAGGGAGGTCCTAGGGTCCAAGGTACAAAGGGGGGGAGAGTGTTGAACACCCCCACTGCAAGCTAAAAGCATCCAACTTGCAGCTCACCTACCTGGGATGCCCCTCTACCTGCCCTCCAAGTTGTGTGTGGATTGGCTTTGGGGGGAAGATCCCAGGGCCCAAAACCTGCCACAGCATTATGGAGATGGATTCCAAGGGTTACTGGAGGTCTGAACAGACAGCCTGCCCTGAGGAGGTCTGGTTGCTGAAGGTGTGAGCTGGACAGGGTGCCGTGAGGAGGTTTGGTTGCTGGGAATCTGAACGGGCAGGCTGCCCTGAGGAGGACAGGTTGCTTTAGGTCTGAACAGACAGTCTGCCCTGAGGTGGAAAGGTTGCTAGAGGTCTGAACAGGCTGCCCTGAACAGGCTGCCCTGAGGAGGTCTGGTTGCTGGAGGTCTGAACGGACAGGTGGCCCTGAGGAGGTCTGGTTGCTGGGAATCTGAAGGGACACTCTGCAACGAGGAGGATAGGTTGTTGTAGGTCTGAGATGGACAGGCTGCCCTGAGGACAGGTTGTTGGAAATCTGAACAGGCAGTCTGCCCTGACGTGGAAAGGTGGCTAGAGGTTTGAACGGACAAGCTGCCCTGAGGAGCTCTGATTGCTGGAGGTCTGAACAGACAGGCTTGCCCTGAGGAGATCTGGTTGCTGGAGGTCTGAACGGACCATCTGCCCTGAGGTGAACAGTTTGTTGGAGGTCTGAATGGACAGGCTGCCCTGAGGTGAACAGGCTGCTGGAGGTCTTCAAATTGGTTGTGTGCAAATCGGCTTTTGGGGGAAGGGGGAGATCCTAGGGTCCAAAGTGCAAAGGGGGGGGGAGTGTGTTGAACACCCCCACTGCAGTCTAAAAGCATCCAACTTGCAGTTCACCTACCTGGGATGCCCCTCTACCTGCCCTCCAAGTTGTGTGTGGATTGGCTTTGGGGGGAAGATCCCAGGGCCCAAAACCTGCCACAGCATTATGGAGATGGATTCCAAGGGTTACTGGAGGTCTGAACAGACAGCCTGCCCTGAGGAGGTCTGGTTGCTGGAAATCTAAAGGGACAGTCTGCACCATAGAGGACAGATTGCTGGAGGTCTGTATGGACAGGCTGCCCTGCTGTGGAGGTTGCTGGAGGTCTGAGTTCAAGTTAGCCTTTATTGGCATAAAATAACAGTACAAGTTATAAAATTTTAGGAAACAGTTAAAACACCTGTTGTAGGTCTGAATGAACAGGCTGCCCTGAAGTGGACAGGTTGCTGGAGGTCTGAGGTGGACAGGATGCTTTGAGGTATACAAGCTCTTCTGAGGTACGCTGGCTTCTAGGGGTGCAAGGATCTAGTCTGTAAGCTCCATAGTGGGTTAGCCCTGCAAGGGGAGGTTGACCTTGATGAAGGACAACTGGTTCACATGACTGGGTCCAGGCTTGAGCGGTGGGGGCTGATGATGTCACCGAGGTGAGAGAACACCTGCTCACTCTGGACACTGGTAGGGGGGGCAGGACCAGTGTTCCCTCTAAGCTGAGTTAGTGTGAGCGAGCTCACAGGTTTTTTAGCCTCTGGCTCACACTTTTTTGTCTCAGCTCAGGAAGGATGGCTCCAGAGCAAACTAATTTATGCAGTAGCCAAATTGCTCGCTCACAACTTTAATGCCAACAGCTCACAAAGTTAAATTTTTGCTCACAAGACTCCACAGCTTAGAGGGAACATTGGGCAGGACCCACAGCAACCCCAGTGTTGGCTGCCTTCTTTTTAGTTGGCTGGGAGGATTCTCTCCCCCCCCCCCTCACTGAGCAGGCTTCTTTCTCCCCCTGGCGGGTGCTAATCATTCTTCTGAAGGCAACATATCTGGGTGGTGCCTCTGGAGGGTGATGGAGGAAAGATGTAGGGGGTTAGAGCCCAGCAATGCTTTCTGACAGTTCCCTTACAGCTATCACCTGCATGGAACCAGTGTACATGCCAACATCATGTAGCCAATATACCCTGCTGTCTGTCTGAGCAGGATGCTAGAGGTGGACTGGGTGAGATAAGGTCCTGAGAAGGCCATCGGCAAGTAAGTCAAGTCATATATTCCATAGAAAAGAGACAACAACCCTGGTCATTCTTATCTAGAAGAAAATGGCTTCTTCACTCCACCAGCAGTGATTAGTTGCACCCCAGCTGTGTAGTCAAATCCACATACTAAGCTTCTCTCAAGAAGAATTCTTGCAGCATCTTTAATGTGCATATCTCTACTTTTTCATTTTTTTTTAAAAAAATCATCCCCTAAAGAAAGGTATGCTCAGACCATCTGTTCACTAGCTTGTTTTCCAAAGCCATTCAGGTGCACTTTCGCCCTACACTGTCTCCATACCTTGTGCCCTTCATCAGTCTCTTCTCCTTTGCCAGTAAAAGGTGAATTATTACTCCTATACTTATTAGTACCAGCTTGGCTGGCACAGGTCGTTGCTGGTAATACTGTGGGGGAGGAAGGAGATAAAAATTTGGAGCAGTGGGACAGAGCCATCTAAAAAGATGTTGCTATGACTCCCCCATCCACTTTCCTCAGAGGCAAGATTTTATCTCCATTTTTCTTTTCCTTTTGTGACTCAGCTGCCCTAATTGTCTGTTTTCTCCTTTCCTGGAGAATTCTGGCTGTCCCACCCTGTCAGAGTATAATCTTTTGGCTGTTTGCTCAGCCCAGGAACCTGAGGGAAGGACTGGGAACCCCCTTTAACTTAGACGACTTCGATGGCACTTGAGAAATTTTTATATTCCACATTAACAAAACGTTTTAATCTTTGTCGTGGTCTCTTTGCATCATACGCATGGTGTTAAGGGTGCCTGTGCTGACTCCAGTCAGTGAATTCTAGAAAGCTTAGTGAGGATTTTCGCACCCTCTCCTGTGTCATGCGCAGGAACCCCTACTGCACATGCCCACAGGGGCAGAGAGCGGACATCCTGCCAGGTCTTTAATGACTGCCATACTGATCAGTCGATCATTGGTTCGGTCGGTGAACTTCGCCAGAGACTTACCTGACTTTCATTTCAGGTCTTGCTTAGCCTTTTCTTCTTTGAATTTCTTCTTCCCACCTTTGTCTGTTAAAAAAAAAAAAGACTATCTCTTTGGACTTTTGGACCTCCCCCCCAACCGTCAGTCTACGGCGAAATGTTGGGGATTTTTTTAAGAGGTGCGTGGTAGCAAACTCACACCCCTGGATGGCCATTCCCTGTGCCTCCTGTGCCTTGGGGAAGCTCATCAGCCCGACATGTGTGTACAGTTTGCGAATTTCTCAAACCAAACGAGGAGGAACTGGGTGGCAAGGCTTCAAGTGGCACTTTTAGAGTCCACTTTGATTCCCTTGAAAATGGCGGTTCACACACACCTCTGTTCAAAAGGAATAGGCTGATAAGGCACTGGCACTGATGGACTGCACCCAACCTTCTGGGCAATCGACTAAAGCCTCCTCTGATGTAGGCCCACCAACTTTGAAAAGATCGTTCTCAACGGCCAAATTCATGTCATCAACCCTGACAAAATGCCGTGATAAAAGCCATACTAAGGTGAAGCAAAAGAACCTTAAAAATGGCTGAATGGATGCCCGTGAGTCCTAAAACACTCCTCTACAGCTAAACAGACCACTCCTCAGCATTTAGCTCTAAAGTCTCTCTCTGCTCAGCTGATGCTAACCAATCAGATCTCTTGGAACAACCTGTCACTCAAGGCTCCCTTCCCCTTCACAGTCCTTTACCTGTTTGTACAACTTTTAAAAGTGCCGTCCATTACACCTGCAAAAAAGGGTAACTGTATGAACAGCCTATGCTGATTGTCTACACTTTTTTTGAGAGGCAGCATGGCATGATGGATAGTGTTGGACTAGGATCCTGGGAGACTTGGGTTCCAGTCCCTACTTCTGTCATGGAAGCCCACTGAGTGACCTTGGTTAT